ATGCCGTGACCCCATAATACAGTTCCCCATGTTGTGGTGACCCCCAAGTGGGTGTGGCCACCAATAAGAGGGAGTAGGACAGCTAGGGAAAAGGGAAAAAAATGGCCGACAGCATGGTTTGGCGACCCCCATGAAATGGTCATTCGACCCCAAATAGGGTCCCGACCCACAGGTTGAGAACCACTGCTATAAGGACTCAAAAATTGCCAGTGGAGGAAAAAGGGAATCTAACATTCTGAGGCATCTTTTATCCCCTTGAGTGGACATATAAGAAGGCTAAGAGTTATTGGGGTCAAATATGTGTTTTAATTCAGAAAATTCTTATAAAAATATAAAATTGAAATCAGCACTTTTAGATTTGAGGGAGAAGTAGTTGAAGAAAAAATATTGGACTTTGTTTCTATATATGAAAACTGCAGTGAGACTTTTCTAGAGATAGAAAGATTCCCACAATGGAAGAATAGATGGTGAAGTTAAAGAAACGGATGGCAAAATTGGCTACTTTGATTAAAGGAAACACCTTCATTTCTAGATGGAAACCATTTTAGACTTTTTGATAGAAATCAAAAATAATACAGCATTAATTTTGAGAGTTGACAATAAGAAATGTTTACGATTATAGAAATACTGGGTATTGTTGAATTTTAGATCAAAAAGTTAATATATGTTATATTTTGTATCAAAGAAACTTAGAAGTTACTCTTGTTTTATATCTTTTCATTTTTCTGTTTCTTCCCTTCCCCTACTTTTTCCTTCTTAATAATTTTTGTCTGTTTTTCATAGCTTATCTTTTGTAGAACTTTAATAATAAATGGGAAGGCAACAATCTTGTCATCTTGGACATCTGGTATTCAGAAGTAAACAACCTAAGGACCCCGAAGTTCCTGAATACCAGGAAAAATTACAAGCATTCTGGCAAAGCAATCACTTGATGAGCATAAAAACACCAATATTTTGCTCATAAGACATGTTTATGCCAGAGGGAAAGAAACTTCTTTCAACTTTTGGCATACACTGCCATCATATGGGGACCAGGGGGAATAACATGCATTTTTGCATGCGGTAATTTTTTTGTTGTATGATATTTAATGGCCCAGAAATAAATAGCCAAAAGTAAGCAACACAGTTCTGGGAATGGATTAATGGTGCTATAGTCTGTTATGCTCATGAGCTTTCATACACTCTACTTTTCTTCAATAAAGATACAATATTGGTAGAACATCCAGCCAATCATTTCATGTATAATAAACGGAATCTCACAAATGCAAGTGATCTAACTGAAGACGCTCCTATAAATCAGATTCTCAAAATATATCCAAGTTGAACACAAATGTTGGTATATGATATAATACCTTTCTTCACTCACACTCTTAAGTATATACATATACTTCCTTATGGTACCTTAAAGGTTAACAGCCAATCAAAAACTGTTTAATTAGATTTTTTTTCCAGATTAAAATTACAAAGATGCTTTAACTCCCCATTATTGGCTGAAGAAAACCAGGTTGGCTACCATTCTAGAATTTAATATTTGAAAGCAGTATCCTCTAATTTATATTATAAATGTAGAAATGTAATACATCCTCTAACTATATTGGATTAAAGCTAAATTTCCAGCCAGCTTATGTTGGGATAGAAATTCAGTCCTGTTGCACCTAACTTAATGGGAATGAGCCAATTCTTTGGAAATAACGGTTGGCTATAAATCAGCTCCTGACACGTAATGAATCATGTGGGATTCCAGTTGAATTTTTTTAACATTGTTTGCTTTTTGTTAAACCACAAAAGAGTTTTGTTATTACAAAAATATTGTAATTGCTAAAAAGAATATGCTAGCCTTTTGTTAAGACCAAGTAAAAGAGTGAAAAATAAAAAAGGTGATCTTTCAGCCCCTTCAAAACTCCTCCCGAGATGATGAGGATGATAATGATGATGATGCAAACCAGAGATCATTAAGGGATATCTTGAAGCTGCAATAATTCTTGTTCTGGAAATACTAGTAGACCAGCATCTCCTAATTAGAATTCAAAATCTGTTGACACATCCAGGCTTGAATTGCCGGTGCTCCATCACTGGAGGTTTTCAAAAATAGATTGGACAACCATTTGACTGGGATGGTATAAAGTCTCCTGCCTCAAGCAGAGGTGGGACAGAAGATCTCAGAGGTCCCTTCCCGCCTCATGATTCTATGTTCTACCCACACAGCTCTCTGCCCACCTGAAATTTTACAATGATTTTATAAATTAAAACTAATAGGTTAATATTCTGCCAGGCAAATCATTAATATTTACCATCGTGTTTCTTTTCAGAAATAGCCTTGAATTCCATACAATATTAGCGTTTACAAAACAGAGAATATTAGGATTAGTTAGCTTTGTGGTAAATGAAGACTTTATGACTGTTTGGCAGTCATTTTGTGAATAAGCTACTCTCCCAGCAGCCATTTTAGGAATGTTTTTAATATTCTAAATGGGCCTAAAAAGATTGCCTGGTCCTGAAATGGATTAGATGGACCACTTAGCTGAATTAGTAAAACACAAGAAGCCATAGTGACTGAGCATTGAATTGCCTGCAAATATATAGGCCTAGTTCTCCCAACCTGACCTCCAGCAAAAGGATTTTAGGCAGCAAAACTAAATTAGGCATGTTTCTACATGAGTTGCATTGCCAATATATAAAGAAGGCAGATCAATCAGCTGTTTTGATGGAAAAGGTTACCTATCATGAGCTCCTGGATGCTCCTGCCTTGCTGACTCATAAACTGAGGTAAGAATCTGAATTGCCTAAGGAAGGGTGTTGTTTACCAAGCTAGTTAATTGCTCCTAGTCAAATCTCAGAAAAAGCTTTTTATGTTTACACATCCTTGTGCAAATAGCTCCAGTCTTGGTATCCTGGGTCCCAGGAAGATTTCTGAAAATGATAACTAAAGAAAATAAGAAATGCATTAGGAGATTCTGCAAACACTATGGAGAAGTGCTGAATTAGAAGCTGTTCTCTCTCTGGCTTCATGCTCTTCCTAAACATTCCTAAAATTCTCTTCCAAAATTGTGGGATTTTTGAATGCAGTAATTTCAGGAGTACTTGCTCTTCCACGCTACTACTATTAGGTTTTTTCTTTAATTGTTCCCAATTTTGCATCTATTATGGAGGGCAAAAACTACAGACAGAAACTTTTCTATGATGGATCATGATTTTGGAGCAGATCTTTACATTAGGTTCTTATGTTAATAGCATTTAAATGTTAAAGTGAAGAGTTTTCTTTTTTTCCACCTTTCTTGCAGAATGTGATTTAAATTTGTTTTGTAATCTCCTTATTGCTGTTTTAAGACTCAGTCATGCTGTACTCTGTGGTACAAATTTATGAATAATAAGTATAAACATAAATATATACCCTGTAGTTTACAATGATTGAGGATTTATGTCAATGATTGTTCATTGTTTTGCAAACCAGGTTGTATACTGATCATAAACAGATAACCTGTGACGTTTCTCCACCAAAACAAAACTTGCATTCAGCTTGCATTTTATCTATTATGCTTTGTGTACAAAACCTGGAGCGATCAATCCTTGTGTAATTTCCCTTGTTTATTAAGAGTGCTATGGTCCTTTTGTTCTTAAGCACCCTAAGAAGAAAATGACCTCCGCCAAGTTCAGATCAAGTCCATCTAGACCAGCAAGATGTCTTCGGGAAGTCTTCAAAGAGAAACTGAAAGGCAATTGCCATTTTTGGCTGTTATTATTCAAATGAATGTATTTCATCTCAGCTCTCTTCAGAACATAGAAGTTCCATTTATTTACCAAAGCAAAGAATGCTACAGAGGAATCCAGCAAAGGAGAATTCATTTAATTTCAAGTGTTTCAACCTGCCAGAGGCTTATTAGAAGCCTTTGAAAAACTCTCCTCTATGGTTATCCTAACAAGTGCCATGTGCATACTCCCTCTGAATATAGAGGTATAATTACCATTTTCTGCTCCTTATAGTATCACTGTCTAGAACGGTGTTTCCGAACCTTGGCCTCTTGAAAATATATGGACTTCAACTCTCAGAATTCCCCAGCCAGCCAAGCATTGGCCTAGAGCAGGAGTCTTCAAACGTGGTCCTTTTATGACTTGTGAACTTCAACTCCCAGAATTCCTCAGCCAGCATGCTTGGCTGAGGAATTCTGGGAATTGAAGCCCACAAGTCATAAAAGGGCCAAGTTTGAAGACCCCTGGCCTAGAGCCTGGAACAGTATAAAAAGGACAGAATTTTTTGCCTCAAGAGATCCAGAATTCTGGAACTACCCATGTCATCTTTTTCATCATTGCATGTTTTTTTTTTAATTTCTCATAGAAATGAGGAGAGAAATACAGAATCCTTTCTCATCCGGATTTAACAGATACAACACTGGAAAGGTTAAAGATCTGCTACATTTTCAAACAAGATAAAGTCTTTTCACTTCCCCCTTCCTTTGCATTTCTCTTAATTTTTTTCCCTTTCCACTTCCCTTAGCTCTTATGGATGAATAATCCCACAGAGCTGTTTTATGTTTTCACCAGTTGCTTCAGTCAATGGGTGGCACCCAAAGATACAAATATTTTAAGTGAATTCTAAGAATGGTGATTCCTTTGATACTCAACCACCATTAAAGCACAAAATATAGACGTCTGTAGCTATTTTGACTACTACCATATGCTTCAGTATTCATTAGCAAAATGACAAACCAGTTGTGCCAAAGCACTTTCCAGCATGCATATGGGTGTTTCAAGGCCTGTTGTGTTTCTAGCACTTTAATGAACCCAGCTGTCTACAAATTCTTTACTTGTTTGTAGCCCTCATTAAGTACAAAGAATTGTTGCAACTCCTGTGTAGCAGCCTGTTGGTGTCAAGACAAGACACCAACAGGAATTAATTCTCCCAATGGAATTCATGCTTTTGTATAGCTTTGGCCAAAAACCCTTCCTTCCTTCCTTCCTTCCTTCATCCCACCCACCCACTCACCCACCTAACTTTCCTTTTTATTTCTACATTCCACTCTTCCAGCCCAAACCTAAAGTAGTTAAGAAAAAACAACGTCAATGCAAGAAGATCAAAACAGCCCACACAAGGCGCACACAAATCACACTGAAAAACTGACAAGATCTGCCTGCGCTAACTTTCACAATAACCTTTCAGGCATTTAAATACCAGCTCTTCTCAAGTGTGTACAGTACCTTGGAAACATGGTTTCTGTGTTTAGCTGACATTTGACAAATTATTTCCTGAAATGCACCAGTTATGAAGCAACATTTCTTTTCCCTTGCAAAGTGCTTAACATGCAAACCATAAACAAAAGGAAGTGCAAACTTGGACATTAACAGGACTCTCCACCCAGGTTTTTTTTTTTTGCCACAACCCTGAGAACAGAAATCTTTCCAGTTTGGTGAATACTGTAATAAGTCTTGACACAAATTTTATGTTAAAAGGCAGGGTTATTTCTTTGGGCTGGGTGGGGGGGGGAATGGTTAAAATGCTGTTAATGATTGAGTTCTGTTTTAGTTAGCACAATAGTCATCTGCTTAGATAAGGGGTGATTTGGAGCACATTCCATGGCTTGGTCCCCCTCCCCAAACAGTGGGAGTGGACAGAAGAGACAAGATCATGAAGGTGCAGAGATAATCCTGTATTTCTACCTTGCCCAGGCAAGCCAGAAAGTCAACACCAGGAGGAAGACAGGGGAAAAAGACCCTCTCACCTCTGATCAGGTGCTGCCGTCTTCGCAGGTAGGTCTCGTAGGCTGTGTAGTCGCTATAGACCGTGTTCATGCCAAAACTCTTGCTCTCCAGCCAATGGGTAGCCGCCAAGCCCCGCGCGCAGACTGCCAAAGCTCTCACTTTTAGTCCTTTGGTCACATCTAACACCACTCGCCCGGAAAGCAGCTCTCCTCCCCGGTACGCGATTCCAGGACCCCGTCCTGCGTCCAGCTCCAGCATAAAAGTACGGATCCTGCTGAAATGCTGCATTTCGGGCTGCAGGATCCTCCGGTCAAGCCGCTGGAGAGCAGGACCGGCTGGAGGCTGCTTCTGAACTACGAGTGCGATGTTTGGAAGGGTGTCTTTTTTTTCTGCAACTGCTCTTCAGCACGTAGCCCTGGGCTGTGCTCCACAGCAAAACTGATGTGTGTCAGATCAGGCCTTCAGATGTGCAGGTGTGGTGCAGAATCCACAGGTCTGGAGATGCTCCTTATCTCAGTCGAAGGGCCCGGGGTTTGGAGAGGGAAGACCCGAGCTTTGCCTACAACCACTATCTGCAATCACACAAGGGGGACTGGCTGGCTGATTCGCTTTCCTGTTGACTTATTAGGTGCATCGCCTTGCCTTAACTGTACAACTGACAGCAACAGGCGAGGAGGAGCGTCACCAGCAGAGACAACTCCCTCTCCTGCCCCCCCCCTCTTTTTTTAAGGGAGTGCCTTCAAAGTGCAGCGTGCAAAGACGTCGTTCAGCCTATGCGCGGAGATAACAATAAACGCAGGATGGAGGTGGAGAAGTTAAAGCTAGTTATTTCCCTACTGGACATTTTTGACACTTGCATATTTTTGCATTTAACCCTTTGCGATAGAGGTAGCCGCTTTTTAATTTAGTTTTGGGATGAACCGAATGATTTCGAACGGGCAAATACTCGCATTCTGGATAATTGTTGGTAACCAATTAATAACTATTTCCTGGGTCAATTCTATTTTGTTGTTAAAAACTGGCATTATATATGAAATACTGATACACACACACACACACACACACACACACACACACACAGACACAAAGAGAGAGAGAGAGAGAGAGAGAGAGAGAGAGAGAGAGAGAGAGAGAGATGTGTGCCTGCACGCTTGACAGTCAGATTTATCTAATTTTTTACAATGCATTTCTCTATTTAGAAGATTTCAAATTTATCTACTTGGAAGATGCATATACCACCAGTATACATGCATGTTTGTATATATTTATTTAAAGCATGGGTATCCAGCATTTTGGTTTGCCTGGACCACATTGAGTGAAGCAGAATTATCATAAACCACATATAAAATGTATAATATAGTTAAATCACATAATAATGTTAAAAGTTTATAAACTTGTGGAGCTGTAATACTAGGTGTCCAGGCCATATGCAGCCTGTGGGCCGAGGGTAAGAGATGCTTGATTTAAAGTATATACAGGGCTGCCAAAATAAAAAAAGTAAAAATATAATTATCAACTATTGTATTATAAAGGAGCCTGTTTTAATTTGAATCCCATATAGTTTGTGATTTGATTGCTGCACTTTGTATCTCTAGCTTTTGTTTATATCTCTAGTAATTGTTTGTTCTTAGACTTATTTTAGAAATTTATTTCAGAAATTGTACATTTATGGCAGCATTATCTAACTACAGTGAAGATCTGTTTTGCATGTCAAGAGTGTTGCTTGGGGTCACGTTCAATTCTTGAACCTAAGGGTCAGTCTCAATGCTTCATGTGTATGATTAGATTTTTATTGGCTATCCTCATTTACTGGCTGCAAAAAGACCCCTCAGAGGAATTCTGTTGCCAAGATCCCCGTTAAAGCCTAAAAATTAGAATTAGAATTGAAATGGAGTGGGAGAAGAAAAAGGGATGATTGTAGGAGAGCTGACTATCCCTAAATAAATTGTTGCATTGTGAATTTAAGGTTAGATGCTTGGAATGCAACCAAATCTAGATTCAATCCAGAACTTGCCTAATTTAGCAGCTCATCCCAGTGCAAATCTTACTTCAGTGTAGCCACTCAGCGCATCTAATAAAGGCAGGAATAGAATAGAATAGAATAGAATAGAATAAAATAGAATAGAATAGAGTAGCATAGAATAGAATAGAATAGAATAGAATAGAATAGAATAGAATAGAATAGAATAGAATAGAATAGAACCTTGGAGGTGTTCTAGTCCAGCCCCCTGCTCAAGCAGGAGAACCTATACCATTTCAGAGAAGTGACTGTCTAGTGACTATCTCTTAAAAACCTCCAGTGATGGAGCACCCATGATGTCTGAAGGCAAGCTGTTCCACTGGTTCATTGTCCTCACTGTTAGGAAGTTTCTCCTTAATTCCAGGTTGCTTCTCTCTTTGGTCAGTTTCCAACCATTGTTTCTGGTCCTTCCCTCTGCTGCTCTGGTGAATAACGTGATCCCTTTTCCCTTGTGGCAGCCCCTCAAATACCGGAATATCTCTATCATGTCTCCCCTATTTCTTCTTTTCTTTAGACTAGCCAAACCCAAGTCCTGCAGCCATTCTTCATATGTTTTAGTCTCCAGGCCTTTGATCATTTTAATAGCTCATGAAACCTCTGAATGAACTTTGTTACTGAGAAAAGGTACTAGCAGAATCCTTCTGGAGAACTTATGCAGTACAAGTAGACAATACAAAATTAAATAGATTGCTAGATAAATGGGACTGGATCACATTTGGAGCATTTGGTAGCAAAGTCGAGAGGGTTGTTGAGCAGATGTTGGACTAGAAAATCTCTTAAGTCCCTTCCAATTCTGTTATTCTGTATTCCCAGTAATTTGAGACATATGCATCATACTGGGATTGTTTATGAGAAAAAGAATGTAGTTACTCAACTATGACATAAAATAATGCAAAGCATGCAACCTCTGAAATTGCATTTTTCTATTGAATTAAAAAAGTGAGAAATTATGAAACAATACTTGTTACTTACTTGTTCAGCAGATCATATGGTATTAATATTAAGGGAAATAGTCAAGAAAAACAATCATATTATTGTTCTGATTGCTGAAATAAGACAAAATGCTACTCTGGCCCCAATTTTGCACCTAAGGGATATTCATATGGCCCTTTTCTACGGTGTTGGGACAATGTGCACAATATCCAGGGAAAGAATGTCTATGGAGGTTCTCAGTCATCCCGGTCATGGTTGTCCCAAAGGTGCTTTCAAAAAGACAACTGGACTTTCTTGATTTTTCTTGAAGATATTTCACTTCACAGTTCAGGAGTTCAACAAGGCTTCTTGGATGAGAACTGAAAACATCTTTAAGAAAAACCTAGAAAGCCCAGTTGCCTTTTTGAAAATAATTTTGGTACATTCAGGGAAAAATCTATGGTATTGATGAAGAGTTGCCAACTGGCTATCTCTGGGACCGCCTTTTTCTAAGGTCATCTACCTGTCCTACTAAGTCAGATAAGCTGGGCATGGTCCCTTCCTACAAATATTGTCATCTGATGGGAGTTAGGAAGTGGGCCTTTTCTGTGGCAGTCCCTGCTCTACAGATCACTCTTTCCTTGGAAGTGCAGTTGGTCTCCAACTAACCAGCAAAACAGCTTGCCTTCAGAAGTTGTGGGTGTTCCATCACTGGAGATTTTAAAGAAGAGATTGGGCAGCCATTTGTCTGAAATGGTATAGGGTCTCCTGCTTGAGCAGGGGATCAAACAAGAAGACCTCCAAGATCCTTTCCAACTATGTTATTCTATGTTCTAATGCTTTGAAGATCAGGCTTTCCTCCCCAAGCATTGGGAGATTATATAATCACACATTAGAACTAAAATAATAAAATAAAATAAACTTTCAGAAATTCTGAAGAGATTAAAACTTTTTTTTAAATAAAAGTCCTCATGAGTAAGTATGCCTACAATGTTTTCTTCAGATCACAGAAGTTTCTGCTGTGGTCTAACCACTGTTTCTCAAGTTGGCCACTTTAAGAGGGGTGGACTTCAACTCCCAGAATTCCCTAGCCAGAGTGGGAGTTGAAGTCCACCGATCTTAAAGTGAGGTTGAGAAACCCTGTACTAGATTAGATCATTGTCAGAAAGGAGGGAGCTAGAAATGACCTAAAGTTGGGTGAGGATCACATACATTAGGACATCTCCAGTCTGTGAAACTAATTCTGCCATGAAGCCAAGATTGTGAGGATTGATGGGACTGAAAAAGGGAAGACCTTGAAGGCCTCCACAACACCACATGGATATTTTTCAGCAGCCAGCCAAAAGGCATTTGATTTATTCATTCAAACATCTCAATTAAAAATGCATTTTTCAAGAACCAAACTTCTTCCTGGGTTGATACTTAACCATTGTGCCAAGGGGAACACTGCTGCCTTGGAAGTCTGTCATCGCGAATGAGATTGGTCCACTATACTTGTCTGTGTAGGCATCTTTGTGTTCGGTGCTGAACCAACGTTTACCCTTCCATGGCTGGACCCAATGGGAATATTTAATCTGGAAAGGTAGAAAGAAGGGCAAAGAATAAACCTTTTACAATGTGCTAAGTGGTTTTATTGTCATTTGTTATTCAAATCCTGCCCTCGTGATATTTGCAGCATACAGGATGGCCAGGACAACTTATAAATTGTAAGATCCTGTGGAAAATTAGTACAATAATTATGAACAAAACAATAATGCTGAAAAGAGGTGCAAATATACCTGGTTATTTATGTCTGTACCGCTTCAAACCGATGTTAGGCAGTTTACATTTTGGGATTAAAACAATAAAACAGTAAAGATAACTTTACCATTCACAGGGGAGGATATCCAACTCAAAAGGATTAAACCATCAAAATAAATTAAGAAGTTGACTCACCATAGCCTACCCCAGGGCCTGCTGAAAGAAAAAAGTTTTCACAGCTTTTTGAATGCCCAACAGAGTTAAGGCCATGTGGATTTCAGAGGCAGACTCAGTTCTAGGGAAGGCCTTCTTCCTAAGCTCCACAAGATCAGACCACAGTACTTTACAGCTCAGTCCCCACAACCTTCCAATTTTGACTCCTTAGTAGAGTTGCTGTTAATAGGCCGGAATGTGAATGCACAACTAATCCCATTTTTTTTGTAAATTGCTCAGAGTCAATGAGAATGATTGGGTGGCCATATAAATGTTCTAAATAAAATAAAAAAATAAAACCTTAGCAAGTGGAGCAGCCACCTGAACTGAGAAGACATCCAAGTAGCAAAATAGATCACAAGAGGAGAGGAAAATTAAAATAGTCTCCCCACCAAGTTGGCTAATAGGAAAGGAGATCATTCTTTGAGTAGTTTGGGCCTAGGTTAACAGCCAATTAATATTTCTTCAATGGAAATTCTTGCTTAAAAGTGAGCTCCTGATCACTCTGTCTGAAATATCCAACAGAGCTAGCAAGAGAAGGGAAGGGAGGCAGAGAAGGGACTGTTGGATAGTTTTGAATTTGGCGACTGAGATACAAGCTGAAAAAAGGTGGAGAGGGGAGAAGGATGCTACCAAAGATGGTCTTCAGGAAATCTATTATCCTGCAAACCTGTCATCTTTAATACTTGTGGACTTCAACTCCTAGAATTTCTCAATGCCTGGCTGAGGAATTCTGGTTGTTGAAGTCCACAAATCTTAAAGTTGCTGAGTTTGGAGACCTCTGTGTAGATGGAACCAGTTGCTATCACATACTACGATACTAGAGTAGTTAGCCAACTCTAGTTGGTTTCAAAAAGCTAGGCAGCATCCAACTAGGTTAGTATTTGGATAGAGGTCTTACAAGAATTCCAGAACAGTAGAGTAGACTAGGAAATTTAAAAAAAAAACCTTCTGTACAATTGCCAAAAAGACCACACTGATGTGTGTGTGGAATCTTCAAATATAATGTGTGATTTGAAGGAAGCTTTATCTTTTTTCACCACCAATATTTAGAGGAAGTATAGCATCAATGACAAAGGGCATTTTTTTCATCTGAAATGGCCTTGCTGACAATGCCAAAGCATGTGGGAGAAATACTGCATTCAAGACAATAAGAACCTTCCTAACCTTTTGCAGTTCTTCCTCTGTCAGCTGGTACTTCTTCCCTTGGTGAGGAACAAGCATATCCTGAGTTGTAGTGGTCCTGAAGATGGGCACTCCAGGCCCTGAATGAAAAACAGAATAATAGAATAACAGAATTGGAAGGGACCTTGGAGGTCTTCTAGTCCAACCCCTGGCTCAAGCAGGAGACCCTATACCATTCCAGACAAGTGGCTACCCAGTGTCTTTTTTTAAAAAAAAACCAGAATATTTAAGAGTCAAACATTGCTTTCCCTCCTACAAAAAAGACACAAAGATTACATGAGAATTAGACCAAGATACATCTAGAATGGAACAAAAAAGGGGTGAAAATGATCTCCTCTCAGAACAAACTGTCTGTGTTCACACACATAAACTGAATTACAGTTCATTGCCCAGGCAACTAAGGAACACAAGAAACCACAGAAAATATAGGTTAAAATAGCTGAATTTAATCTGTTGGTTTGTAACTGACCTGACTCCATGCAGCATGTGAGCACACCTACTGGTTATTTTTCTAATGTGCTGACTATGTATATGGCTTAGAGAGAGGCTGTAAAGCACTGCAAAGCAGTACATAAATGTTATTGCTATTATCTGTTGATTTCAATATGATAGCTCCAATAGCATCTTTTCTCAGAGGTGAGAATGAACAATATAGTTTCGTTCTGTCTAATAAACATTCTTTTGGCAGGGCTCCTGATGTTGGAGGGCAGAGCGCTGGTGAAAGTGGATATGATGATACAGGCGATACTTTAGAACAGGGGTTCTCAACCTTGGCAACTTTAAGACTTGTGGACTTCAACTCCCAGAATTCCTCAGCCAGAACATAGAATCATAGGGCTGGAAGGGACCTTGGGAGTCTTCTAGTCCAACCCCCAGTTCAAGGCAGGAGACCTTATACCATCCCAGTCAAGCTATTCCATTGATTAATTCTCATGGTCCGAAAATATCTTCTTATTTCTGAGTTGGATCTTTCTTTAACAAGCTTCCATACTTCCCACTTGGCATTTGGAGAACAAGTCAATCCCCTCTTCTCTGTGGCAGCCCCTCAAGTACTGAAGATAATTTTGAAACTTCATCATTTCATAATTGTGTACACAACCATCTCATTTTTTCAAAGGGAAGGCCGGCCACCAGCTGGGGATTTCTTTGTGAAGTATACAGGGAGCCCTCGAATGATGACCACAACTGAGGCCCAAATTTCTGTTGCTAAGCAAGACAGTTATTAAGTGAGTTTGGTCCCATTTTATGACTTTTCTTGCCACAATTCTTAAATGGATCACTGCAGTTATTAAGTTAGTTGTTATGTCCCGAGCCTTGCAAATGGCTCGGGGCGTTTGCAGGCGGTCCCAGGCAGGTGCAAAGCTGCCCGGGACCAGACAGGCTGTCGCCAGCGCCGTGCGCATGCGCGGGTGCTGGCGCGGGAAAAGTATCGCATTGACCCGGGAAATGTCTATATAAGAAGCTGAGAGGTTTTGGGAGCTGCTGAAGCCATCTACTTGTAAGCTGAACGCAGAATAAAGAAAACTGAGAACTACAACTGCTTCTCGTGTCTTACATTTCCGCGAAGGACTCAACACTGGCGACGAGGATGGGATGCCTTACATCGCCTGGAAAGGAAGAAGTGTAAGCTTACCCAAGTGAGTCCTGAGCGGCGGAACGGTGTCGACTCGGCAGCTACTCGCCAATCCAGTGCGCATTCGGGGGTAGGCTGGCTGATAGACCCGTCTCCTGAAGATGGCAAAGGTTGGAAGGCTTTCGGAGTTCGACGTCTCACATCCAGAGCGGTGGGAGTCCTACGTAGCCAGGGTGGAGAACTACTTCAAGGCAAACCAAGTGAGGGAAGAGAGCTTGAAGGCTGCCACCCTGCTTTGTGTTTGTGGTCAAGACGCCTTCGAAATCGCAGAAAACCTTGCAGCACCTGTTCCAGTAGAGTCTGTCAGCTACGCAGATCTGAAGAAGCTACTGAAGGAGCACTTCCAGCCCAAGATGTCCGTCATCGCATGGCGCCACACCTTCGAGCAGAGGGATCAACGATCCGGTGAGTCGGCCAAAGAATACATCGCCGCATTAAGGAAAGCCGCCAAGCACTGCGAGTTCAAGGACCTCGAAGAACGACTGAGGGACCGATTCGTGTGCGGGTTAAGGCATCGAGATCTACAACAGAGACTTTTCGCTAAAGAAGAATTGTCCTTCCAAGATGCCTTAAGAGAAGTCACCGCAGAAGAAGCAGCAGGCGGCGCCGTCAAGAACATGCGGCCGATCAGAAACAATCCAGAGGTTGCATCCGTGCACCAGGAAGACGTCCAGGGGAACTCCGAGGAGGATCCGGACGAGGAAGTCGACCGTCTCTACCCCACGAAGGAAGGAAATCAGAAGGGAAGCTCTTCAGCTCCACTCAAGTGCATCGGCTGTGGAGGTCGCCACAGGAGAACCGACTGCAAGTTCCGCTCCGCTACCTGCCAGGCATGCGGCAAACAAGGACACATTGCAGCTGTGTGTCTGGGCCGACGAAAGGTACAACCTCAGGAAGAACTGCGCCTGAAAGGTACCAGGGTCCCCAGCCAGAATAGGGTAGGGTTTTGCGCTTCGCGAAGAAGCATCCTTAGGACAGGCACACACAAGCCCATTAAGAAAAAGCTGTCACTCAAGGTGAAGCTACAAGGGGTTCCATTAACTATGGAACTAGACACAGGGTCTGCCCTTTCAATCATCTCCTTGCATACATTTAGGAAGATTTGTTCCGGAAGTGGAACTCAGGCCAAGTTAAGGCCTTCTGACATTGTGTTAACAGATTTTCAAAATTCAAGAGTGTGTGTTAAGGGGGAGGCCACCCTTAACGTGCAATACAAGAATTTTGAAGGTCCACTAGACTTATTAGTAGTAGGGGGTGAACGAACGAGTCTCATAGGACTCGATTGGTTTGAGGCCCTGGGGATACACGTCACAGGACTCAACAGCTTACAAACACTCGACCTACAGGAAGTCTGCAAAGAATTTGCAGATGTTTTCAGCCCCCAGCTGGGCACATTCAAAGGACCCCCTGTGTCCTTAAAGCTAGACCCCACTGTCACTCCCATTAGAATTAAAGCAAGAAGGGTCCCTTTTGCTTTAAAGAGTAAAATTGACACTGAGTTAGACAAACTGATCCAACAGGGAATTCTAGAACCTGTTGATTCCAGTCCTTGGGAGACCCCCATTGTCACGCCTCTAAAGGCAAATGGGGACATTCGTATTTGTGCTGATTACAAATGCACTCTTAATAAGGCATTGCAGCAACATGCCTATCCTGTTCCTGTGGTCAGTCATATTCTGGCCTCCCTCAAGGGGGGGCGCGTTTTTGCAAAGCTTGACCTAGCTCAAGCGTATCAACAGCTGCCTGTTGATGATGCTGCTGCTATAGCTCAGACTATTGTGACCCACAGGGTAGCCTTTAAGGTAAAAAGGCTACAGTTTGGAGTGAATGTCGCTCCTGGGATTTTCCAAAGCGTAATGGAAAACACACTACGGGGCATACCGGGGGTTTGCCCCTACTTTGATGATGTCTTAATTGCAGGAGACTCCACACACATTCTAGCTGAAAGGCTAAGGGCTGTTCTGTTAAGATTCAGGAAAACAGGCCTCAAGCTCAAAAAAGACAAATGCAAGATTGGGGTGCCTTCTACTGAATTTCTGGGGTTCAAAATTGACGCTGCTGGAATTCACCCTGCTGAATCCAAACTAACTGCTATTTTAGAAGCACCTAGGCCAAAGTCTAAGGCCGAACTTCAGGCCTTCCTGGGCCTCCTGAATTTCTACAATTCCTTCCTTCCACATAAAGCCAGTGTGGCTGAGCCTCTTCACAGGCTACTAGACAAGCAAGCAGTGTGGCACTGGTCACAAACACATGAGGCTTGTTTTAACAAAGTCAAGGCCTTGCTCACTTCTAACAGTGTACTTGCACATTTCAACGAGTCCCTTCCTGTGTGCATCGCTTGTGATGCGTCCCCTTACGGGGTAGGAGCTGTCCTGAGTCACCTCAGGTCTGATGGAACTCAGGTTCCTGTTGCATATTACTCCAGAACATTGTCTTCTGCTGAACGCAACTACGCTCAGATAGACAGGGAGGCTCTGGCTGTTGTTGCTGGAATTAAAAAATTCCATGATTTTCTATATGGCAGGCATTTCACGGTCTTCACTGACCATAAGCCTCTGCTGGGACTGTTTACCACACGTAAGCAGACTCCCCAGATCATTTCCCCCAGAATGCTTAGGTGGTCTATTTTTTTGTCTGCATATGATTTTTCTTTACTCCACAAGCCTGGGAAAGAAATGGGCCATGCTGATGGCCTCAGTAGATTGCCTCTGCCAGTAGTAGAAGCTGACCCTGCGCCAGCTGTCAACATTCTATCAATCCAAGCCTTGCCCGAGCTCCCTCTTAGTGCCAGGGATGTTGCCGCTGAAACAGGTACAGATCACACACTTTCACGTGTCCGTTCCTGGGTTTTGTCTGGTTGGCCTGAGCACTGCCCTAGTCCTGAGTTTCAGAGTTTCTGGTCCAAAAGGAACGAGCTGTCCCTTTCTCAGGGTTGTCTGCTTTGGGGAAACAGAGTTGTCATTCCCACCTCAATGAGGACTAGGGTCTTAGAATCCCTCCACGAGGGTCATCCTGGCATTGTTCGTATGAAGGCTCTTGCGCGCAGCCACTTGTGGTGGCCTGGTTTAGATAAAGATATTGAGGCTAAGGTGCATGCATGCCACCTGTGCCAACGATCTCGCCCAGAGATGCCACAAGCTCCCGTGCATAGATGGGAGGAAACGCAGTCCCCATGGTCTAGGGTGCACATTGACTACGCTGGGCCCTTTCAGGGCCAGTTCTTCTTGGTCCTTGTTGACAGCCATTCAAAATGGCTTGAGGTTGTACCTGTCTCATCCACCACCACTGCAAAGACTATTCAGGTACTGAGGGGGATTTTTGCTGCACACGGGCTTCCAGATGTCATTGTGTCTGACAACGGCCCTCAATTCACTTCCTCCGAATTCCAAGCTTTCTTACAGGCTAACATGATTCGTCATGCCACGTCTGCACCCTTCCACCCGTCCACCAACGGTATGGCTGAACGTATGGTGCGCATCACGAAGGACGCATTGAAAAGACTCACCTACGGGGACTGGCATCACAGGTTGGCTGACTTTCTCCTTTCTTATCGCACCACACCGTCTACTTCTACAGGGAGAAGCCCAGCTGAACTTCGTTGGGGGCGTCAACTTACTACTAAACTTGACCGGTTGCATCCGGACAGACTGCCTTCATCTACCTCACATCCTAGGGCACCTAGACAACTACTTGTGGGTGCCCCGGTTTGGGCTCGCAATTACGGGCCTGGTCATACATGGGTCCCGCTTCTATTTCCAAGGTCACAGGTCCTCTCTCCTACGAGGTAGCCCTGGACAACGGTCGTGTCCTGCGTCGGCACATCGACCAACTTCGCCCTAGGCGGGACCTTTCAGATGAGACTCCTGGGTCTTTTCCAGGGGGGGAGGGGGACCCTTTGGAGCAAAGGGAAGGGCACGAGTTGCTGCCCATCTCCACTGATGGAGCCACTGACGGCCCATTTCAAGCTTCCGCAAGTGCTCCGAAAAGGAATTCATGGAGCTTACCCACACAACAGGCACTCACGCCTACTCCAGCCAGGGAGTCACCCCGGGGGCATACTCACTTTCCACACACATCACACAACACTCCAGTCACGGAGGATACCCGGGAGCATCCCAACAAATCATTCCCCGAATGAGAGCTGGCACACAATCCCCAGAGTTGGCCTGACCTTACCCCTAATCCTACAGGGGGTCAAACTTACAGGGAGGTGGTCGAGGAACCAAGTCCCGACCGCAACACCTCTAGCCCAAATCAGGGAGAAACTGAGTTTTGGGAAGGTACAGAGACCCACACGAGCCCGGACACAGAACAGGGCTTAGGGATTGGACAGCCTCCTGACAGGTCTTGGACGGACCTAGGAGGTTCTATAGAGACGCCCAGCAGTGGCTATCACTTCAAGGGGCCCGAGGGCCTACAGCTAGGCAGGTCAACCAGGTCACAAAGTGACAGAAGCCCTGGCCTGACGAGCCCGGTGGGCGAGCAAGCAGGCCAGGCATTGGGGCAAAGTCCTTGGAAGGCACCAAGGCATGATAAGGGGAACAGGCTCTTGTCACCCCTCAGTCAGGGAACACCTGTCAGAAACCCAGAGCTGAGAAGGTCACAGAGAGCAAGGAAGTCTCCTAAATACTTAGAGGATTACATAACATTGCTGGCTAAACAAAAGCCAGGTAACGGTAGGAGCACTGAGAAGCAGAACACTGTATAAAATAATGATTATATGTTGGTAGTAGTTTTAGCCCGGGGGAAAGGGGTGTTATGTCCCGAGCCTTGCAAACGGCTCGGGGTGTTTGCAGGCGGTCCCGGGCAGGTGCAAAGCTGCCCGGGACCAGACAGGCTGTCGCCAGCGCCGTGCGCATGCGCGGGTGCTGGCGTGGGAAAAGTATCGCATTGACCCGGGAAATGTCTATATAAGAAGCTGAGAGGTTTTGGGAGCTGCTGAAGCCATCTACTTGTAAGCTGAACGCAGAATAAAGAAAACTGAGAACTACAACTGCTTCTCGTGTCTTACATTTCCGCGAAGGACTCAACATTAGTGATACAATTACTAAGTGAATCTGGCTTCCCCATTGACTTTGCTTGCCAGAAGGTTGCAAGAGGTTATCATATGACCCTGGGACACTGCAACCGCCATAAATATGAACCAGTTGCCAGTTCTGATCAGATGACCATGGGGATGCTGCAACAGTTGTAATTGTGAAAAACGATTATGTCACCTTTTTTTGCTGTTGTAACTTCTAAACAAATGGCTGTAAGTCAAGGACAACCAGTGTGTGAATGAGAACCTTGTGAGACTTAGCTCATGATCCCACCTGAAAAAAAAAATAGGATTGTACCTTCATAGTTGAAGAAAATGTAGCTATCAGTTGAAGTCTTGTTTTTGGAACCCAATTTGTGTGTTTCAGGAGGTGGCTGATAGTCAGAATGATGAGTAGTTTGAAACAATGGCAACAACTGTTTATCGCCCAAGCATAGCTTTGTTAGTGGCGGAATCAGTGGCTGGGTCACAAAGTCCTTAGCGTTTCGCTGAGTAGAGAGAAGACATGAATCTTTTTATGTGTCTTAAATCTCTCCCCATTCAGTTTCATTTAATAATCCTGAATTTAAAAGCAAATTAAGAAAACTATTTTCTTCTCTTCATTTTTTTAGCATTGCACATATTATAGTAAAAATGTGAAATTCATTGCTATATGACAGTGGTGGCGAACCTATGGCACGGGTGCCAGAGGCGGCACTCAGAGCCCTCTCTGTGGGCACGTGCGCCATCGCCCCAGTCCTAGGCCTTCAACTGGGTTTTATAAAACCTTTTCGCTTTAGGCCTCCGCCGCCGTGTACAAAAAAAAAAAGGTTCAATCAATCAGTCAATTTCAACTTCTCGCAGGGGAAAAAAAAAGATCTTGTAAAGTTGGAATTGATTGATTGAACTTTTTAGTCCCACCCAGTCTACTGTTACCATCGCAGCCACGCCCACCCCATGGGCCACACCCACCAGGCACCCGACGATGCATAAGTGGGTTTTGGGTTGCAGTTTGGGCACTCGGTCTCTAAAAGGTTCGCCATCACTGCTATATGATTTACTGTTTAGATGGCTTTAAAATCTGACCCTGATGACTTTCTTTAGGCTCTTAACTGTTATACATCTCTTTTCCTTGACAGCAGCTGAGGGTAGGAAATAGCCTAGAAATATAAACTTATAAACTAAAATATAAAATTATAAAATTATAAAATAAAAATAGGAAATAGCTAGAGCAGTGTTTTTTAACCTTGGCAATTTGAAGATGTGTGGACTTCAATTCCTAGAATTCCTCAGTCAGCATGGCTGGCTGGGGAATTCTGGGAGTTGAAGTCTATACATCATCATGGCTGGCTGAGGAATTCTGGGAGTTGAAGTCCACAGCTAGAGAGTTAAATTCTTAACAATGGGAAGAAGAGATGGGTATTACCTCTTTGTAGTAAAATTGGTTGTTGGTCATACCGGTGCATTTTCTCCTCTCATTGTGATCCCCTAGGAGAACAGACGATTCGTTTTTTTTGTAGTCTGAATAGGATGGAGGGTCTAGAAAAACCACAAAGACAGAGAATAGATGGAGACTTAATCAGAACTCTGATTCAGTCCTGGGGTTTTTAGTGCCTGAGAACAGGAGTAAAGAAGGTAAATGGTGAGCAGGATCCAAATTCTGTTGCTCCCCATCTCCCCTCTTCCCCACACATCATTCAGATGCACTCATCCCATACCTTACTCAGGTGTGTATATAGAGATAAGTTAAAGATACTTTACTTGCAGGATTTTGATCACAAATTGTGATTACCATCCTGATGTTTTGCTTACTCCCCTGACTCCATCCATGCCCACATTTTTATGTGAATGAAAAATGTAGTACAGGTAGTCCTTGATGTACGACCGCAATAGAGCCCAAAACGTCCATTGCTAATCAAGACAGTTGTTGAGCAGCATCCTCACAGTTACAGGATCCAAATTCAGGCACTTGGCAACCAGCATGTATGTACCACGGTTGCAGCATGTGATTGCCCTTTGCCATTTGGGGTGAAATGATTGCCATTTGTGACCTTCCCATTTGGCTTCTAACAAACAAAGTCAATGGGGGCAGCCGGATTCGCTTAACGACCGCATGATTCACTTACCAGTGATTCCCTCATCACCTGTGGCACAAAAAAGATTGTAAAATCAGGTGCGACTCACTTAACAACCACCTTACTTAGCAATGGGAATTCTGGTCCCAAATTGTGGTTATAAGTCAAGGACTATCTGTATTTCCTTCACAACCATCTCTTGCCTATTTCCTCTGGGTATCCAGATTAATTATAATAATAAAGTTGGAAGGGACCTTGGAGGTCTTTTAGTCCAACCCCTTATACCATTTCAGATAAATGGCTGTCCAGTCTCTTCTTAAAAACTTCTAGTGTTGGAGCACCCACTGCTTCTGGAGGCAGGTTGTTCCACTGGTTAATTGTTCTAACTGTTAGGAAGTTTCTCCTTAGTTCTAGGTTGCTTCTCTCTTTGGTTAGTTTCCACCCGTTGCTTCTTGTCCTGCACCTTAGAGAATAGCTTGACTCCCTCTTCTTTGTGGCAGCCCCTGAGATATTGGAACACTGCTATCATGTCACCCCCTCGTCCTTCTCTTTATTAAACTAGGCATACCCGATTAAAACAACAACAACAAAGTAATACACAGACACAGGGGGAAACAGAAAAATTGACCAGGCAGTCCATTTCTAATGCACAGGGAGCCATGGAAATAATGAGCAGTGGAACAGAAATACTCTTATGTCTTTTAGGGGACAGCTCCTTTCTTCCTACAGAAGCACCCTCCTCTGAGCGCTTGGGTTCAGGTACAATCGCTCAGGTACAAAGGGTGGGATTTGTCAAGGCCTCCGAAGAGCAAAGGAAGAGGAGGAGGAGGTCTCCAAGGCTGGATTCAAATTATGGGCTAGAAGTTCCCCATTCTCTAGAACTTTTGAATTAAGAATATCTCTGAGCATGGAGAGAGTGAATTCCTCTTTTTTGCCCTAAAGGCCATCTTTTGCACGTTGAAAAAAAATAAGCTGTTGAAAATGGAATCCATTGAGGGTCCTTGGTGCTCGCTGAGCTTGGTTGTTTTCTCTTATAGTGGTACCTTGGTACTCAACTGCTTTGAAACTCATCGAAGTTTGTATTCAATGCATGTTGATGCAACAGTTTTGTCCCAGGATTCATTATTTGTTTGGCACTCAACACACAAGCTAGGACTTGTCAGTGTTAGCTGCCTTGTGTCTCACTACATTATTCCTTATGAGAAAAATTTGTTTGGTATTCATCATTTTTGGTACTCATCAGCCCTCTCGGAAGCAATTAATGATGAGTACCGAGGTACCACTGTAAATGTTTCATTACCTAAACTCGGTAACATCAACAGTGCTAGTAACTTGCACTGATAATGTTATCTAGTTTAGGTAATGAAACATCTACAAGAAAACAGCCAAGCTCAGAGAGTATCAAGGACCTCTCATTCCAACCCTGAGCTACATATATTCTCCTTTATGGAATCAACTCTTTGACCTTATGAGTCTATTTTGACGACTGGCACAAATGATGACAGAGAGATTTGGGGAAAGTTCCCATGTTGTCCCTGATCTCATTTTAGTGAAATGAGTCTCCGTGTTTAAGAAGAAAAAGGAACTTTCTGTCTTCCTTTCTCTCTTGTTCTTCCTTCTTTTCAAGATGCCCTTTAAGATATTTCTATCCTTACGTATGTATTAAGGAATCTATAAGAATCTAGTAGCAATTTTTTTTAAACTTACAACCATTCATTTAGCAACCAAAGTTAATGATGGTGCTGAAAAAAGTTAGGACTGGTCATCACACTTACGACCATCACAGCATTCCTCATGTGATCAAATTCAGGCACTTGGCAACCAGCTTGTAGTTATGACGGTTGCAGCATCCTAGGGTCACGTGATCATTATTTGTGACCTTCCCAGGTAGTTTCTGATAAAAAAGTCAGTGGGGGAAAGCTGGATTCATGCAACAACTTCATGATTCACTGACCGACCACAGGAAAAAGGTAATAACATTGGGTATTGTTCACAACTGCCTCACTTAGCAACGGAAATTCTGGTCCCAATTGTGATCATAAGTCAAGGACAACTTCTACAAGCTTTATTAAAAAGCACAAGCTTTCATCAAATGCAGAGAATGTTTTATGTACAATTTCAGTTGCAAGTAATTAACCTTTTCCTTCAAATATCACAAACATCCTTTTAGCGTTCATTAACAGCTGGGCGAAGACCGTGCTCTGCATTCAAATTCTATGTCATCCATCCACCTACCCACAAGTATGCACATACACATACATACTTTGTGTGTGTGTTTGTGTGTGTGTGTGTAATGGTACATTGTGCTATTCAGTATTACAGGTAGTTCTCGACTCAAAACAGCTTGTTTAGTGACTGTTCAAAGTCATAACAGCACTGGAAAAAAGTGACTAGTTATGAACATTTTCACACTTACGACCATTGCAACATCTCTAGGGTCACATGATCATAATTTGGACACTTGAAAACTCATATTTATGACAATTGCAGTGTTCTGTGGTCACATGATCACCATTTGCGACCTTCTGACAAGCAAAATAAAGTCAGATTCATTTAAAAACTGTTACTAACTTAACAACTGCAATGATTCACTTAACAACTGTGGCAAGAAAGGCTCACTGAACAACTGTCTGTTACTTAGCAATAGAAATTTTGGGGTCAGTGTTGGTCATAAGTCGAGGATTACCTATATTTCACTTATCACAGGGGGTCTAATATATACATTGTGCGGGCTTAACCAAATTGCATATTTAACAGAGCTGAAGACACTGCCTGAGTCAGGGTAATCTGGGTTCCCTCCCTCTCACCATACCAGGTTGCTTCCATAAGTATGATTCAGACATGATAGTAGAAAACCTGTGCTGCCCATCTCCAGGCTGAATGTTTGAATGGTGCACCATCGCTGAGGCAATATGTGGGTCATAGCTGTTGGAGAAAACTTGAATTACTAGTCATTAAAAATAAGGAACTTAATACCTTATTAGATTTCTAAGGCTGCAAATAAAAAAAAAATCAAGATAGTGCACACAAATTGAAAGCCTAAGAACCAATGCAGTCATCAAATCACAAGATAGACCTATGGTGGCGAACCTATGGCACGCGTGCCACAGGTGGCGCACAGAGTCCTCCCGGTGGGCATGCATGCCGTCGCCTCAGGCCTAGGCCTTCAGCTGGGTTTTATAAAACCTTTTCGCTTTAGGGCCCCGCCGCCGTGTGCAGAAAAAAAAAAGGTTCAATCAATCAATCAGTTTCAACTTCTCGCAGGGAAAAAAAAGATTTCGCAAAGTTGGTATTGATTGATTGAATTTTTTAGTCCCACCCAGTCTGCTGTTATCACCGCAGCCACACCCACCCAATGGGCCACACCCACCCGGCACCTGATGACACATAAGTGGGTTTTGGGTTGCAGTTGGGCACTCAGTCTCTAAAAGGTTCGCCATCACTGAGATAGACAAACTTTACGCAAAGCTGGAGTGTTGCAAATGGCTCTTAAGCCTTGAACAGGGCAGCATTTCTCCACCTTGGCAACTTTAAGATGTTACCGTTGGCTGGGGAATTCTGAGATCTGAAGTCCCCACATCTTAAAGTTGCCAAGGTTGAGAAATACTAGAATAAGGGATGAATCTCTCTACACAACATTGTTCCCCCTCAATTTAGCCTAACAATACAGTGACAAAATGTACACATACAGTACAAATTAGCTCCCCTGTAACTTCAATAGCATTCTCCAAATATATTCTATACATTAGTTTGCAAAAGGAACCAATTGGAAAACCAGACTTTGTTAAATCCTTAACCCTGTTTCAATATAAAACAGGCTTTAACTAATTAAGAACAACACTTCCAGTTAACTTTGCTGGCAGGGAATTTTTCATAATACAGTCCAATCCATTTGAGGATTGGGGAAGGCTGGTATAACCTTAGTCAACAACTACAGCAAAGTCTTTTAATTGTATAAATTTTAAAAGGCCAAATCTCAGGAAATGCTAGGCCCTATAAAAACAGAGATGATGATGATGATGTTGTGACAATGATGATTTAATTACCAGTAGATGGCACCACCTAGCTGACCTTGGCTAAGCTAGGAGACTACAGTAACCAGACTACAATAAATATCTGGGAAGCCAAAGGCTATAAAATGGATAGATTTTAGGCTAGATATAGATATTGTGCACTACACACATACACACACACATACACACATACGAAAAAGACAATGGTACTGTAAATCACTTCCATATCGTTTAAGAAAACTGTTTCATTACCTCCATGTAAGTCCCCAGTAGTCAAGCTTGAGTCAAAAATAATTTTACTTTCTAATGTTTAAAATGAACTTTTTAAAAGTCAGAGATGACAAGTAGCAACACTGCAAGGGCCATAATACCCTTGAGTGTCACATGATAAACCTTGTTGCATGGCATCTTGGAAGTTAGTATTAGAAAGATAAACTATACAGGTAGTTCTTGACTTACAGCAGTTTGTTTAGTGATTGTTCAAAGTTACAACGGCACTGAAAAAAGTGACTTATGATCATTTTTCAGGCTTATGACCGTTGCAGCATCCCCACGGTCACCTGATCAAATTTCAGACGCTTGGCAACTGAGTCACATTTATGATGGTTGCAGTGTCCCGGGATCACATGATCACCTTTTGTGACCATCCAACAAGCAAAGTCAATGGGGAAGCCAGAGTCACTTAACAAAGGTGTTACTAACTTAACAATCGCAGTGTTTCCCTTAACAAATGTGGCAAAAATTCAAAAAATGGGGCAAAATTCATTTAACATCTGTTTCGCTTAGCAACAGAAATGTCGGGCTCAATTGTAGCTGAAAGTTGAGGATTACGTGTAAACATTTTAAGCGATTGAAACAAAAACATGAGGATAACCAAAGGACATCCAGGTACGTTCCTTAGAAGATTGCTCAATGTGGAAAGGAGTTTGTAACTCTAGGACAGTGGTGGCGAACCTATGGCACGGGTGCTAGAGGCGGCACGCAGAGCCCTCTCTGTGGGCACGCGTGCTGTCGCCCCAGTCCTAGGCATTCAACTGGGTTTTATAAAACCTTTTCACTTTAGGCCTCCACCACCGTGTACACAAAAAAAAAAAGGTTCAATCAATCAGTCAATTTCAACTTCTTGCGGGAAAAAAAAAGATCTTGCAAAGTTGGAACTGATTGATTGAACTTTTTAGTCCCATCCAGTTTGCTGTTACCACTGCAGTCACACCCACCCAATGGGCCACACCCACCCGGCATCCGGCGATACATAAGTGGGTTTTGGGTTGCAGTTTGGGCACTCGGTCTCTAAAGGTTTGCCATCACTGCTCTAGGAGGTTTGAGATGCATTATATTAGCATGACACACAAGAGACTATAGTCTTATCCAACCCAGCCATCCCTTTCTGAGGCAAGTGCTACATTGCGTACCGTTGGCCTTCGGGTTCCTGGACCGTGTATGCACGCTTCTGCTCACTCACTGCCTGGCGGTACCGAGGGTCACCAAAGACTATTGATACCATATTCTGCAATAGGAAAATGCGTGAGGTGACTGCAAGTAATGTCTTTCCATCTTCTATTGTGGTGCCATTAGGGGAAATTGCTTTTAAAATGGTAGGCACAATTGTGTGGAATGAATCCCACCAATGGCTGTAATGTGGGTGGCATTTCTCATCTCAGAAACAGTCTACACCATGTTTCCCTAAAAATATTCAGTTAGTCACTGTCAGAAGAGGAATGCTCAATTAGATGGTCCACCAGGGCCCAATTAGATGGCCCACTAGATAGTCACCAAGGTTTTCTTTATGTTGGGCTGAATCTGCCAGTAGCTATTAGCCATGTTAGCTGACTCATATCTCCATGGGTAGAAATGGTCTACCTATCAATAACAGCATCTTGAATTTTGTATACCAGCTGTGGAGGTTTTCAATGCATCTCCTCAACTGACAAATATAACTGTTATGACCAGGAGTCAGTGATAGTCTTGGTTTTTTTTATGAATGTATATATGTTCCTTCTTAAAACAGTGGTAGCGATTGATCGCAATAAATTCCAAACTTTAATTTATGCTGAGTAATCAAGTGCTTTTTGCTGCAGAAGTTGTTATTCATTTATTTATTATTAAATTTGTATGCCACCTACCTCACTACCCAAGTAACTCAATGTAGTGAGAAAGGGAGAAAACCATGCCCTTATCCACAATGTGTGCCCATGCATGCTTTTCCAGCTCTCTATCCTGTCCCCATCATTTCTAAGTTAAAAAGCCCTCTAAGTTTTAACCTTTCCTGATAACAGAGTGTCGCAGTCATTTCTCATCTGTCATTGAGATCTGGGCATTTCTCCATCTTTCTTAAATTAATTCTGGGTTCTATGAGGTTCTGTAAAGATCTAGTTGTGGGATCCAAAAATTTCCTCCATCTTTGCTTAGGAAGTTAATCCAGAACATTGTTAGCTCTTGTTGATTTCCTACCAGAACTTAGGTGAAAAAAATTGTCATTAATTTTTTGATATTAAAAATGCAATCTCATCCAATTCTGGTTTGTACAGGCCAGCTTGTTTATTTATATTTCTCAGGATCTGTTAATCCTTTCCCCTCTACTACATAATGAAACTATCTTTGCCTCATATTTTTGTTGTCTGGGTTCCCTGTTTGATTATTCATAGAGCAGATTTGTCTAATTAACTATATTTTCTTCCTCCTTCTGATGTGAGAATGAATACTTTGTACATCCCCTCTCTTAGCTAAGCCTAAATTGGTAGCTAGGAAACACAGCTCAGAGGCCAAGTGACCTGAGACACACTTACTTCATTGCAGCTCTTGACTGGAGGTGCCCATTCACCTGTGAACTGTGATTGGTAAGAAGTGTTGAAATAGTTATGGCCATCACCTCTCAGGGCAAAATCACCTCCTGCCAAAGATCAGAAAATCCATCATGGTGAATCAAACAGAATAGCTATCTAACCAGGCTTTATTCCACTCCCCCTTTGCCAGATCGGAAAGATATAGGCAACAGATCCATGTATGAATGTTTGTGTGTGAGAGATATAAATTATACTTCAGCAAATGAAGTCTTCTTCAAATGTTGTTGAGTCACCTAACATATGCTAAAATTCATCCAGCCATTCAACCATGCAACCGTACAACCAACCCAACAGCAATAGCTTCACAAGCTGTCTGGAAGAGGGACGCTTCCGCCAGTTTTAACAGAGATTGAACTCTAGCACTGTTTTTGCACATCATTGCTCCATTGAGCTTAATATTATTTATTTTGCTGGGCAGCAGCAATACCATGTTCTTCCAAACTTGGCCGAGAATATTTCAATTGCAGAAGCTAACCGATGAACCTGAAATCACCTGCATTCCACAGAGATGCTACAGCTCAGAGGTTGAACTTTGCCTGCCCATTTTACCTTCCACCAAAAGTTGAAAGCACTCTGCATATGATCAGTGGCACTTGACTGATAGTCCTGGTCAAAAAATTCAGTTTAGGCTCACTGCAGAGATGTGGAGATACTCTTAATTATTTAGAAAATTAAAAGCAATGCCCAAAGACTGTCCAGGTACAATTCTAGGATATGTCTTCATGGACATAAACTGCCTTTATGAGCCACTGTTTAGAAGTTTTGAACTTGCTATAGGTTTGGCAAACACACCCAGGTGTTGGCTTGGAGCCTTGACTGCAGGTAACACCCCTTTGTAGGGTGGGTAGGACTGCTGGTAGAGGGACTCCGGCAGAGGTTCCTTTTCTTTGTCCCCACTGGGAAAACTGTCATCCCACTTGTCTACACGGTTGGGAGTCATGTGCGGGAGGCTAGGAGGATAAGAATAGCTTTCTCGGGTGATAGAAGTGAGGATGCTGTGGCGGGGATCTGCATGCATTTGGAAGTTGGATGTAGGTGGATTGATAGCAGGTTTTGGCTCCAAAGGCCAGGTTGGATATGACAGGTATGATTCTGAGCGAGTGTCCCAGCAATCGCCCATTTCTTGGTTCAGGACATCAGCGCATTTTGGAGGCAGAATGGGTTGTCGCTGGTAGGAGCCCCACCTAGGAGGATACTCTATACGATAAGGGGAGACTACTGTGCTACCCTCAGGCCTCTGGTCAAAGCCCAGCTTGAAATGGGAAGCCCTCAGGAAGGATTCGGTGGCCAGAGGAGCTTGGATATTTTGAAAGGAAGAGGAGGGCATTGTGCAACCTGCAGTTAGGTAGCAACCAGGAGAAGATTAGCCACGTGCAGAGGAGAGAAGATAGAACTAGAAGCCCAAAATCTCTATATTTGGCAAAGAGGCATAGATCTAGAATGCCTATCACATCTGGAGTTTTGCTTAGGTAAGTAAAAGCTGTACATATCCCTTCAAAAAGGGGATGTATAGAAGAAAAATAGCCTTCTTCCAGAAATGTGTGCGGTTTAAAGGGCAATAAAGAACCACAAATTCAATATTTGCAATCTTTCATATGCCGTTTGAGTCAATCAAACATGCCTTTGTTTTCTGATGAGTTCTGACATTCCAGAATGGAATACGGCTTTATGAATTATGGCATCACAGAAGAGAGAGTTCATCCCAACTTAATGAAGTTTCTCGTGATAGGTTACCCCCTCTAGAGTCAAATGGTCACCAGAGGGCTCTCTCGGACAGCCTTCAGTTACATTTCCTTTCCAGGATGCCAAGCCCCTAAGAATAAAATAAACAACACCACAACTCATGATTCAGACAAACAAAGACCTTGTGTGGCACTGGAGAAGAGATGGAGCCTATGATGCAAGTCCCAAGCTTTTGCTGGCTTAGAGGAAGGCCTGATGGGAGTACCACTCTCCTGTAACCAGACTTTTTATGAGACCCAGCGTCCGCTCTGATTTTTGCTGCCAATTGACAAGAACTCTTATGACCCTATTTTGAAAACAAACCTATTTTATCGCTGCAATCAGCTCTCCTATTTCATCTGCTACAGATTACAGTTGGGGTCACAATGCAGCTTGTCACTAATATTGTAACCCATATTTCAGTCAAAATGGACATTCCATTGCCTACAGTAGTGTTTCTCAACTGTGGCAACTTTATGATGTCTGGAGTTCAGCTTCCAGAATTCCCATGACTGGCTGGGGAATTCTGGGAGTTGAAGTCCACACATTATAAAGTTGCCAATGTTGAGAAACACAGGCCTACACAAAGTCTAGCATGGTGGTGGTGTGTGGATGTGGGTGTGAAAGAGACGGAGGGAGGGAGAGAAAAGGGTAGTAGACTTTTGCCAAAATTAATGTTTTATTGGTTACCTGGTCATTTCTCAGTGAATTACAGGCTATGTTTTCCCCAAGTTGCTTCCAGATGTTTACATCTGTTAAATGCTTATTTATTTCTTCTCTGTACAATTTCTGAGAATCAGCTTTGGTGAAACATCTATGTACAGGTGACTTGACTTACAACCATCCATTTGACTTACAACATCCATTTAGTGACTACTTGAAATTACAACAGTACTGAAAAAAGTGACTTATGAAGAGGAAACCATTTTTCATACTTACAATTGTTGCAGCATCTCCATTGTCACATGATCAAAATTGGATGCTTGGCAACTGGTTCATACTTATGATGGTTGCAGTGTCCCAGAGCTACATGATCTTCTGACAAGCAAAGTCAATAGGAAAGCCAGTTTCACTTAACAACCATGTTACTAAATTAACAACAGCTATGATTCACTTAATAACTGTGGCATGAAAGATTGTAAAATGGGGCACAACTCAGTTAACAACTGTCTCGCTTAGCAACAAAATTTTGGGCTCAGTTGTGGTTTTAAATTAAGGACTGTCTGTAGGAGGTGGGGGGGATTTGGTTTTTAAAACTCAATTGACAGATCAGAAATAAGCTGGAAGTTACTGTATACAGAATTCTACAAACAGCCATTCAAAATAAGGATATTATTTGCTGAGTTTACAAGCTCTACAATACCAAACTGTGGTTTAGGGGTGTTTTTTTTTTTTTTTTTAGCTTAGAACTGTTGTGAAAATTTAGTTTTATCATCTTCAGGTCCCCAGAAAAATTGCAACAAGATGTTTTGGGATTACAATTTTCAGAATTCCCCAAATGCTGCAACCAACAACTATTCTAACTAAAGAATTCTGGGAGTTGAACCCGTACAGAGGGCATCTAGGGTAGAAACATTGATTTATGACTTAATTCGTCTTGCAAAGTCAGCCAATTGTTATTTATTCAATAAAGTAATGTTACACAAGTTATTGCTGTGAGCACAACCTTGGTGTTGAATTTATGATTAATATTGGGATTTTTTTATATACCAAAGTAGTCAAAAACCTATATCAGATAACACCAATCTGGGCACAGGGATCACTATTCATTTGCCAAAGACCCTCAAGAACTATCTTTTGTAGCCTCCAGAAGGCTAATAATAAGAGGGCGTATTGAATTATTCTACAGAATATTCCACAGAATATTCTTTATTCTGATATAAAGAAGATAATTAATTCTGAAGATACATGACCTCTAATAGAATCAAAAAAGATTCTGAGTGCAGCATGTTTTGTTAAATTAAATACTCTTTCTTGAGAATGGACAAAGTCATAAGAGTTAAAAAAGTAGGAAATTAAAATACTGATAAATTGATGCTTAGAAATGCGCTCAAGTGTTGACATCCATTAAAAAAGATTAACAGTATTAATGATTCATGGACGCAGCAAAAAGACATCTTGTAATAACAAAATCTATTACAGGTAGTTCTCAACTTACAACAATTTGTTTAATGACCATTTAAAGTTACAACAACACTGAAAAAAGTGATCATTTTTCACACTTGCGACTGTTGTAGCATCCCCAAGGTCATGTGATCAAAATTCAGACACTTGGCAATTGAGGCAATTGAGTATTTATGATGATCGCAGTGTCCCAGGGTCACGTCATCCCCTTTTGTGACCTTCTGACAAGCAAATTTGATGGGGAAGCCAGATTCACTTAACAACAGTTTGACTAATTTAACAACTATGGTGATTCACTTAACAACTGTGGCAAGAAAAGTCGTAAAATGAGGTAAACTCACTTAACAAATGATTCACTTAGCAACAGAAATTTTGGGCTCAATTGTGGTCATAAGTCGAGAAGTACCTGTATTAACTGCTGCTGATGAATCTGCTAATATCTGCTGTAAACTTTTATAATGAAAAAAATGTAAACCTCTTATGATATACAGTACATGTGTGCTGTTCCAGTTTTTAATACTGTTTACCTTTTGTGGCTCCTAAAAATATACTTCAAAACAATCTCAAACACTGTAAATACAAAAAAGTATAATTTGTTTTGCTTTCCACACTCCAAGGGATTTAGTATACTTTGTCAGGGAAACAATTCTGAATAAAGCTGGATTTTATGCTTTCAGAACTGAGGGAAAGAACCATTGCTGCTGTTGAAAGAATCCTAGCCATATCCTGAAATTAGCTTGGAGGCTAAATTAAACATGTAATAGAAAGGCCAACTCTGTCATTAAGCTGACTGAAGTAGTAATTTTGGACAGCAGACTAGAAAGATCAATGGATTGGGACTATTATTTCAGAATTAGCTTCTTAAGCAGCCACTTTACAGCCCACCTTCTTTGTACGAACTCAGAGCACCATATATCATGTGCCATCCTCCACTTGATCCTCTCAAAAAGACCATAAGATAGACAATTGAGAATTCTATGGCAAGATATTGATTTGACCATGTATTCTCCCAACTAAAGCCCATCACACCAGCTTACCATGTTGTTTATCTTCTGAGTCAGCCTTCCATAAGCATTATTTTAAGAGGATTCGTGATGATGCCTATAGGGCTACCAGCCATCTGGAGGATGACTAACAGTGCAGTTGCCATTAGGAAAGTGGACCAGAAGGAGCACCAGAAAGTACCCAAATCTCCTGCATCACAGGACAGTCTCCTCCTAACTCACATGGAAGGACTTCTTGGCTTACCTCAGTTAAATATCTGCAGACCACTCCAGCATTCAAAATCAGACCTTATAACTTGAGCCTTAGCTATCCATTTCCCCTTCCTTTACTTCTTTGCTGCCAAAGAGTTTGGGAGATTTGACAAAGTTGCCTACAGTATTTTGTGTCCTTGAATTGACCTAGGAAAAGTATTGCTACTACATCCACTTTAGCTCCTTAAAGACTGTTTGACCAAGAATAGTAACCTTGCATAGAAAATTTAAAAGCTCTGTCAGTCAAGAAGCAGATAAATGACATATATGGCAATGCTGTAATCCTTACATTTAAATGTATGTTGAGATATTTAAATTTAGTAGCTGGGACAGTGGGGTTGTACAATAAGTAAGAACACACAGTTATAACTGATTGGTCGGAGAGAGCTGGCTCCTACATGAGGTAATCTAAGCTGTGATTGGTTGCTGTGGGTGCAAAGGGGGAGTTTCCTTGTTTCCTGCCTTTTTTCCTATGTGCTCTGTAATTTACCCCATGATGTTCCTGCTGTGTTGATTTACCTGATGATCTCCTGTTTGCCTATCTAGTTTGCTGTATAGATAGATGTAAAATATATTTATCTACATAAAACTACAAGTTCGTGTCAATGTGTCTGACTTCATTTGGACACCAGCTGTGCAATTCCCTGACAATGTAGGAATGAAACTGCATTAACTGCAGAGCTTGGAAGAGAGACAAGTGAAGATCAGTAGAAGGCTGGGACCTTCTGTATGTTATAGGTCAATGATGGCGAACCTTTTAGAGACTGAGTGCCCAAAATGCAACCCAAAACCCACTTATGCATTGTCGGGTGCTGGGTAGGTGTGGCCCATTGGGTGGGCATGGCTATGGTGGTAACGCCAGACTGGGTGGGACTAAAAAGTTCAATCAATTAATTCCAACTTTGCGAGATCTTTTTTTTCCCCGCAATAAGTTGAAATTGACTGATTGATTGAACCTTTTTTTTTTTTTTGCACACTGCGGCAGAGGCCTAAAGCGAAAAGGTTTTATAAAACCCAGCTGAAGGCCTAGGACTGGGACGATGGCATGCGTGCCCACAGAGAGGGCTCTGAGTGCCGCCTCTGGCACCCGTGCATAGGTTCGCCACCACTGTTATAGGTTCATGATGTTTCTTCACTAGAAGTTTCTACAGAAATAATTCTGTAGAGTTTAAAAGGCTAGGAATGTGTGATTATTTTTTTTTTAAAAAAAGTTGAGGATAGCACTCAATTTTCAAGTCATGTGTGAAGGATTGCATTTGAGAAATTTCCTGGGACAAAGAAAGGACTAGGACCAGATCAAAACAAACATAAATTCAGTCAAACAAAATTGAAATTAAATTCATTGAACACAATTAATGGGTTACTCCACTTTTATCATATAAAATGTACAATTCAGTGGGAACTTTAAAATGAACTCCACAAGATGCATCATTTGAGGGAGGGGGTCTCAAGTTATGCCCCTTTCATAGATAGTTTTTCCCAGCCTTGTGGCCCAGAACGCTAGAAAAAGAACCCAATGTTAGATACTGAATCAAGTGAGGTTTATCAGTTGAAGCTATCTCTACCACATGATGTATGTATTCCACTATTGCCACTTTTCCAACTAGCAATAACTGTTCAAGATCTCAGGTAAAGAAAACTATGCAGCACTACTTCAATACAATACAACAAATATTATCTTCTTGAAAAGTATGCTGTGCCTCCTGGCTATGGTGTCTTTCCTCAGAGAGTGGTTGTAGAAGTTGTCTGCCATTTCCTTTTTTCGATTTGCTATCTGTAAGATAGTAAGATGTATTCTAGAAGCTCAAAAATAGATCTAGGTTGAAGCACCATCACTGCATGGAATGTCAAAGCCTTCACCTACATTCTTAATCACCACCAGTTTATCAAACAGTTTGAAGGAGAGTGGAACTTGGGACATACACATGTCATTTTGGTCTCTAGCTTCAGTATTGTTCAAGAAGAGATGGGGACCATTACCAGTGCTTTCTTCATGAGAAACATCTACAAAATCTTCAGATTCTTCCACAGGACTCAAAAATCTTTGCCCCTTATATTCAGAAAGTAGGATTTCATCAGAGACTACCTCATCCTCCTTGGGAGAATGTTCCTCTTCTTTTCCTTTGACAAATCCCAAGAAGTCCATTGTTGTATCAGTAACTGACTCCTCTTTGTCAAATGAAGGTTCTACAACCAATGGTTCCATGGGGCTGTTGGATTCCACTGGTTCCATAAAACTCAATTTTACCTGGGCCTGAAAAACATTAATAAAATGGTTGTTTGGTGTTAGATTCATCTCAAACTATTTTTGTTTAATCATACTTTATTGAATCAATGACAATTAGGAGAATCTGCACCCTGGGATAAGACAAATGATTTACAAGCTACAGTAGATATGATTACACAAATCAATGTGCCAAAAAGGAATACCGTATTTTCCGGCGTATAAAACGACTTTCCAAACCATGCAAAACTTCTCCAAAGTCGGGGGTCGTCTTATAAGCCCAGTCGTCTTATACGCCAGAAAATACGGTACTTCATTAAACATAATGTGGGAGACTAGGCTCTACAGATTTCTATTAAGCTGCTTTAAGATGAATGGTGGTCAGGTTTTTTTTTTTTTTTTTTACCAAATTAGGGTGTTTTCCCATCTTATCCAGTATTGTGTGCTCTGAGTGGCAATTCTGCTCTAATTTGGCCATCTGGAAATGCTAACAGAGGTTAAGTTGTCTTTCTAACTTAATTGGAAGGAAACCTGCACTGCTATATATTAGGGCTGGCTGAGGAATTCTGGGAGTTGAAGTCCACACCTCTTCAGGTTGCAAGGTTGAAAAACACTGATCTACAGAGTACAAGAGCAGAGCACAAATTTAGGCCAAAGAGATACTCTTTGAAAAAGATCCTCAAAAAAAGATTTATCCTACAGACCCAAAGTGCTCTAATGTCAACCACTTGATAGCTGTGTTTCTGGTATATTCAAAGAAGTGTCCTTCTCCCATTTTACAGATAGTCCTCAACTTATGATCATAACTGAGCCCAAAATTTATGTTGTGAAGTGAGAAATTTGTTAAGTGAGTTTTACCCCATTTTATGACTTTTCTTTTGTTAAGTGAGTCACTACAGTTGTTAAATTAGTAAGGGTTGTTAAATGAATCTGGCTTCTCCATTGACTTTGCTTGTCAGAAGATCACAAAAGGGTATCGCATGACCCTGGGACACTGCAATTGTTATAAATATGAACCACTTGTCAAGCATCCAAGTGTAAATCACATGATCATGGGGATGCTGCAATGGTCACAAGTGTGAAAAATAGTCATAAGTCCCTTTTTTCAGTGCCATTGTAACTTTGAATGGTCACTAAATGAACTGTTGTAAGTCGAGGACTACCTGTATACTGTTCTGTGAGCTGCTAAAGTACCTTTTTTTTAGCTTCTCAGTCTCAAATACAGAGCTCTCCGGTGATCAAGAGACCATCTGCTACTGCTATCTCCTACTGCAGTGTTTCCCAAACTTGACAATTTTAAGGCATGAGGACTTCAACTCCCAGAATTCCACAGCCAGCAATGCTGGCTGTGGAATTCTGGGAGTTGAAGTCCTCATGCCTTAAAATTGTCAAGTTTGGGAAACACTGTCCTACTGATAAAACATGCAGTGATCCTCATCCAATAAATGAAGAACTCACAATAACATGATGTACAACACAAGTGTCAAACTTGCCACGTCATGTGATGTGTCGCGATGTATCGCAACTTTTTTCGCATTGCTGGAGCTGAGGTGGGTGTGGTCTCTACATGATGCAACTGACCCACGGGCCAGCAATTTGACACCCCTGATGCAGAAAATCTTCACTTGAAGCTCACCTGCTCTGCTTCTGCTATGGTGTGGAACTTCACAGCTTCTGTATTAGCAGGATCTGGCAGTGCTGAGCAGAATACATTTTTCATTCTGGAACAGATGTTAAAACAATGGTTTGGGAAGCAGAACTGGGAGTGGGGAAGTTGCTTAGCTCTTGGAAGGGCAGGAAAAGCTCAAGAAACAGATGTGGTTCATTTGCATATCTCCAGTTTTAAATAGTTTATGCATTTGCAAATCAGGTTAAGCCAGGACCTACAACCAGGTCCTATAGAACTCTTCTACATACTGTAGGAACATAGTAGACTCACTTATAATGCTAAATCATCATGTCCAATTAAAAGCAGATAATAATATGTCTTGGCATCATGTGCAAACTAGGTCATTGATCTTTAATACATCTGATCGCCCTGAAAGATAGGCTGGTAGCATGATCTCCCATATTACAGATATGGAATGCTATTGGTGCTGCAAGACAATGCCTTTGCTAGAATTTCTATCAGAGCTGGGATAACAAGTGACAATTCCCCAGCTCATGTTCTCAGCTGCTTTACTGCATCAACTCGCTGAAGGCACATAGTGGATGATTAATTAGCTGACTTTGGAATCAACTGTCCAGGGAGAGAACAGTTGCTCACGGCAGCTGCTTAGGAGTTAATTTTATGTTTCCTAACCACATTTTTTTAGGTAATTTCAAAAAAATTTTTTGCCTTATACAAATCAGTTTACATAGCCCATGCCATCTAATTCAGTTTACAAATTAATATTCATCAAGGAAAACAGAGTTTATTAAATCTGGAGTCTCTTTCTTGTACAATAGGTGCTGAATACTATGCAAAGAGTATTGCGAATGTCATAAAAAGTGTTACAGACCTCAACCAAAATTGAGCTCAAAATTTTTGTTGCTAAGTGAGAGAATTGTTAAGTGAGTTTTGTCCCATTTTATGATTTTTTTGTGACAGTTGTTAAGTGAATCACTGCAGTTGTTAAACTAGTAACACAGTTTTTAAGTGACTCTGGCTTCCCCACTGACTTTGCAAAAGGTGATCAAGTGACCCCCCCCAGGACACAGCAACCATCATAAATACAGTATGAGTCAGTTGCCAAGTGTCCAAATTTTGATCACGTGACCATGGGGATGCTGCAATGGTCATAAGTGTGAAAAATGATCATAAGTCATTTTTTCTGTACCATTGTAACTTTGAATGGTCACTATATGAACTATTGTAAATCCAGGGTTCTCTCCCTTCATCATCGTTATTTGGCCAGTCTACAGACAAAACTTCCTAGGTATTAAAGCAGGCAGTTCTCTGCTGCCCTTGCACATGGCTTCATCATAGTTACCTTTTTTTGAGAAAGTAGAAGATGGTGGTGACAATAAGGATGACTCCAAAAATCCCTATAAATAGAAAGCTAAGCACCGGTGGCAGCTGCTTGAGATCTAGAAAGGAAGAAAAGCCACGAGAAGCTATTGCTACTGTTGGAATTTCAGAGGGAGAACTCAGAAGGAAGAGAAACTATTATACCTGGAGCTTTGGTAAGAAATCTATAAAAAGCTTTGCAGTTGTCTTTGTTGTTTGCCGTAGAGACCCAGATGCCAACAAGATAGACAGTGTCAGGCTCTAAGTCCTGGATCGTATACCATGTTTGTGACACGTTGACATCATAATCTGAACAAGAACAAGACAATAATCAGAGCCCTTTGGTTGGCATTTTCCACAACAGCATCACAGCAGCAACCAAATCCTTGGTCCAAATTCCAGTGGTAACCTTGCCAGGATTTTGTCTTCCAAATTGTATGAACCCAAGACACAAAGGTCAGAAACTCATACTCACATGTGATGTTACTGTATTGCTCCTTTTGACAACATATGACATATTTCTTCAGTACACCTGGGCAATCAGAGAGGGCTCTGGGAGGCTTCCACTGGATGACAGCAGAATTTGCTGTTTGGTTAGTCACATTTACATGGGTGGCATCTTCAAGAGACGCTGCAGATCAAAGAGGACAGTTATCAGATTATTGGCTCTTGAGGATCTATACATTCTGTAGATTTCTTCCATCTTTGGGATGATGGTCAGGTTCTCACATCACTTCCTTGAGAAGATGAATATGGAGTTAAGATAAGTTGCAGTCAATTGTTGACCAGGAACCAAAGATGGGCAATTTAGGCCAAGGTTTTGAAATGTTCTCAGGCTGCATTAAATGTTGATTTTAAAAAATAAATAAATCTCAGAGCCCCTGGTTGTAGCTCTGGTGACAAACAATTTGCTATGTTCAAGTGAACATTATATGTGTGTGTTTGCCTGTCAAGTTCTTGCACAACACTAAACTTCTGTAGAATACTGTTTGAAAAACCCTAGTTCAGGAGTAGGCAACCTTGGCTCTTTTATGACTCGTGGACTTCAACTCCCAGAATTCCTGAGCCAGCACAGTCATAAAAGAGCCAAGGTTGCCTACCCCTGCCCTAGTTTATTCCTGAAAGGTTGAAATACTGATCATTGGCTCTCATAGAAGCTATCATTCTTCCTTCTTTTCTGGAAAGTCTAACCTTTCTTTCTTTCCATTCCATGCATTATTACAGCCAATATTATAACGAATTTCTAAATACAGGTAGTCCTTGACTTACAACAATTTGTTTAACAACAATTCAAAATGATGATGGCCCTGAAAAAAGTGACTTGTGACCTGTTTCTCACTCTTATAACTGTCACTGTGTCTGTGTGTGATCAACATTTGGATACTGGGCAACTGGCATGTATTTAGGATTACAGTGGCAGAGTCTTGGGTCACGTGACCTTCATTTGCGACTATCCAAAGGATCTTCCAACAAGCAAAGTCAATGGGGGGAAGTCAGATTCACTTAACAACCACGTGACTCTCTTAACTATCGCTTAACAAGTGTGGCAAAAAAGGCACAAAACATTTAATGACTGCATTGCTTAGTGATGGAAGTCAAGGATAATCTTATATTAAGCACTGATTTACAGAAACCACCTGTTGGGCATTACACAAGACAAAATATAAATTTCTGTTGCCACGGAGGGGGGGGCATATTCTTTTTTTATTATTTATTTATTTAATTTTTATCCTGCCATTATTACTTTATAAGTAACTCAAGGTGGTAAAAGTACATACTCCTTCCTCCTCCTATCTTCCTCTCAACTAGGTTTTGGGTTGAGATGAGAGAGCTCAAGGTTCCCCAGCTGGCTTTTATGCCTAAGGCAGGACTAGAACTCACAGTCTCCTGGTTTCTAGGCCAGCACCTCAACCATGACACCAAACTGGTTCTCTTTGTTAAATAAATACAGTGAAATACTGTAGGTTGTGAAAATGCTCATACATGTTGTCTACAGGTAGTCCTCGACTTACCACAATTCATTTAGTGACCATTCAAAGTTACAACAACACTGAAAAAGTGACCTATGACCATTTTTTACACCTACATCCCCATGATCATGTGATTTACACTCGGATGCTTGACAATGGACTCATTTATAACAGTTACAGCAGGGGTGTCAAACACAATTTCATTAAGGACCACATCAGCATTGTGGTTGCCCTTGGGGGGGGGGCTGGGTGTGTGTGGCCAGGGTGGGTGCGGCCTACTGGGTGGGCGTGGATGGAGTGGGTGTGACCTACTGGGTGGGCATGGCCAGCTCTACATCGTTCACATCAAGGGTGCCTGTGGGGGCCTGGGCAGGAGTAGGACAAATCTGAGGGTCTCTGGCAGAAGGGGGTGGGACCAGGGCCAGCCCCAAGGCATGGTCCATTTCTTCATTCCTCACAAAGGGTGACACCTCCCCAGCATGCACCCAGGGGGCGGGGACGACACGGCAGAGGCTGGTTCCTCACTGTTTCTAGATGCTAAGACTGGAGCTAAGACTGAATGTGCTTCAGCATAGATGGCCACCACAAAATTGTACATTGGCTCCCGGCCGGCCTGGGCCAGGGCCAAGGCAGCGGGGGCCATTCCCTCACTGTTTCCAGGATGGCTTCGCAGGCCACATGAAACCACTTCGCGGGTGGCATCCGCCCCTCGGGCTTTGTGTTTGACATGTCTGAGTTGCAGTGTCACCTTTTGTGACCTTCTGAGGGTCCCAAAGTCAACGGGGAAGCCAGGTTCACTTCACAGCCATGTTACTGACTTAACTGTGGCAAGAAAGGTTGTAAAATGGGGCAAAACTCACTTAACTAATGTCTCGCCTAGCAACAGAAATCTGGGTCTCAGTTGTGGTCATAAGTTGAGGATTACCTCTTTGATAACCCCTACAACAGGTTATCTTACAGTATTTTCAAGATAATGGGCCTTTCACATGACCTGCTAACCACAGGTCTGAGATGCTCTGTTATCTGTTTTTGAGGCATGAGATGCAGCCTCTATCTCCTCCCCAGAATTCCACAGAAGCAGCCTAAATTGGCACTTGGCTGGAAAACTTGAATCGCTGCTTCTGTCTCAAATTAATGTACTGAAAGTTTCCTGCTGCTTCTGCTCACTTGGGAGGGGATCTGTTGGGGTAGTTCTGGATGCTGCTAACTCTGGCCACTTGCTGCCAGCACTGCCATTCTCTTGCAATCCTTCCTGAACTGGAATATTTGGGAGCTGGAGTGAAACCAACATAAGTTTTCCTTATTAGCTAAAGGGAAGAGAAGATTGGTAAACCTCTCTAGTCTTCTAGTCCAACCCCCTGCTCAAGGCACAAGCCTTATATCATCCCAGTCACATGGTTGTCCAGTCTATTTTTGAAAACCTCCAGTGATGCAGCACCCATCAGGCAGGCTATTCCACTGAATAATTGTTCTCACTGTCAGGAAATTTCTCCTTACTTCAAGGTTGGATCTCTGTTTGAGAAATTTCCACCCATTACTTCTTGTCCTGCCCTCTGATGCTTTCGCAGAGTTTCTCAACCTTGACAATTTTAAGGCATGTGGACTTCAACTCCCAGAATTCCACAGCCAGCATTGCTGGCTGTGGAATTCTGGGAGTTGAAGTCCACATGCCTTAAAATTGTCAAGGTTGAGAAACACTGTTTGGAGAATAAGTCAAGAAGGGTGAAAGATAAGCTGGGATGGACTTCTCAATGCACCATAAAACTCCCTCCAGCATTACCTGCACCCTTCTCTCCACCCCACTGGTTTGTCACTTGTGCTGTTTGTAGATAAGATCCACCAGTCTTTTAGAAGTCCAATAAACCCGTGTTCAGAAATCGTCTGAATGACAGGTTACTATTGCAAGCCATCTCCATACCAATGAGCTATTGTTCCAGCAACTTGAAAGATGGCTAAACGCACCATCCCCAGATCTCGCCCCAGACTGTCCTGTTAGAGATGTTTCCACCCAACCAACCACTAACTGGTTAGTGACACGGGGCAGGAGGGAAAAATAAGAGAATCATATTCTTCTGCCAAATCAAGAACCATATTATTCTGATCAATCAATCACTGAAGTAATGCACTTTAACACTGTTCTGAGAAAGAGCTGATGGGTGACAAAATGTTACAGATTTTAAACATTTGAAGTTGTGATGATAGTGTCAGCTTAAAAAGGAAACATACCTCATTAAGCAGTTTATTTAATGACTAGGTGGTTTCACTCATGGGTTGGGGATGAGATGAAGACAGTGTTGTGGGGCCAAGGGGAAGACTGGGTTTAGCAAGATAAGATTGTGCAATGATAAATTGCAAGTTAAGTTGAGTCTAAGAACTTCAAAGTGCTTGAGGCAGAAATGTTAAGCTTGTCAATTCAAAGGTGCAATTGTTCTATCCTTATCTACCTTTTTTTCTGATAAGTTCAAAGATAGAAGAAATAAAGCCGAGGTTCATCAAAAGACAATATCAATTGGCCTACCGGCAAACATTTTTGGGATATTTCTGTCCAAATATGAAGTATCCATTTTTAACTATTGATGGGTCTGACTGATGGGACAAGCAGAGGTGGCAAGTCACCACAACATACTCACCATTTCTATGAAAAAGGTACCCATGTCCAAAAGTTTTCCACTGCTCTGTAGTGTTATATCTGTACACTGCAAAGCGGTAACACCTGTTGGACTCCATTTTCCCTGGAATTTAGAAGCAAAAATCACAGATTTTATGATCATAACCTTAGGAGATACCTGCTGGATTAGACCAAAACTTTATTTTACATAGCATCATATTTCTAACAGTAGAGCTAGATGTTTCTAGAGGTCCTGTGAATAAACATCCCAGATTGTTTTCCCTCCAACATCTGGTATCATGCTAGACCAGTGGTTCTCAACCTGTGGGTCGGGACCCCATTTGGGGTCGAACGACCATTTCACGGGGGTCACCAAACAATGCAGTCCGCCATTTTTTTCCCCTTTTCCTTAGCTGTGCTACTCCATTAATAGACTCTCTTGAATAGAATCTAATTCTATTGGCTTTCAAAAGCCAATAGGAATTGTCCAGGCTGTCTCTGCCCTGCTGAGCCCACCAAAAGTTCCATTCTGCAAACGGTGCTGCACCAGTTGAGTAGTCCTCGACTTACGACCAGTTGAGTAGTCCTCGACTTATGACTGGTTGGGGGGGTCGCGGCATTAAAAAGGTTGAGAACCACTGAGCTAGACTGACTCCACAAATGACTATTTCTATTAGCTCTTGCTAATAATATCCATTTTCCCATCCCATCTAATTCTCTTTTGAAGTCAATGGCCATCCCTACAGCTTCATCCTACAGGTGTAAACAAATATATTGTGTGAACAAGCGCTCCATTACAGCTGTCCTGAAGCCCCTTCACAGGTTTTTCAGAGAATCCTGAAGCCTACAGTCCATTCAACTATGATATAAAGAACCCATGCATAGAGAAAAGAGCAGTGGTTCAAATTACTATCTTTTTCCTTCTTTAGCCTATATTGCACTAGCTGTGTATTTCCAGGATGTCCCACTCTTGCTTTCTTTTATGATTCCAAGATGGTATCATTGACAAAATATGAGCCGGCTTGATATAAGTTGTGCGAACTGCTGAGTCATCCTTGAGCCACTAGGAAAGAGCCGTGGTGGCACAGTGGTTAGAATGCAGTATTGCAGGCTGACTCTGCTCACACTGCCAGGAGTTCAATTCCTTAGATCCTGACCAGCTCAAGGTTGACTCAACCTTCCATCCCTCCAAGGTCAGTAAAATGAGAACCCAGATTGCTGAGGGCAATATGCTGACTCTGTAAACCTCTTAGTGAGAGTTGTAAAGCACTTTGAAGCAGTATATAAGTTTAAGCACTATTGCTAGTTGACAGATGCACCATGCAAAATAGTCATTTTATAGTATGTTTCAGCTAGTCTTTCTGCCCCTGTTTTATTGGTTTAAATTAATGGCAAAGTTATTTGCTAATCTCTTCCAATGAAATGCCACCTTTTTCGAACTCCTTCCTCACCCAAGTATAACTCCAGCTAGAGATGCATTAGGGCAGGGCTCTTCAAACTTGGTCCTTTTATGACTTGTGGATTTCAACTCCCAGAATTCCTTAGCCAGCCACGTTGGCTGAGGAATTCTGGGAGCTGAAGTCCAGAAATCATAAAAGGGCCAAGTTTGAAGACCCCTGCACTAGGGCAAACCTGGTGGGGATAAAATTAGAAAGCAACACAGCTACAAAGAGCATCTGTAGGACCCACTTTCTCTTGATCCTGCTGCTTCTGCCAAGCAAGCTATGCACTTTGAGAGTTTCTCTGATGGAAAGAGTGATATTCTAGTGGAGGAACCTGGATGGGCCTAGGTCTAGGACAGGGGTCGGCAACCTTAAACACTCAAAAAGCCACTTGGACCCTTTTCCCAGAGAAAAGAAAACACTGGGAGCTGCAAAATTTTGTGTGTGTGTGCGCACACACACACAGGAGACGGGGAGCTTGATTGAAGAGTTTAATTAAAAAGAAATAGAGGCTGCTGTGCATGAGTTCTCTCTCTCCCTCCCTCCCTCCCTCCCTCCCTCTCTCTCCCCCCCTCTCCCTCTCTCCGATCTTCTGCTTGCCTGGCAAGCTGGCTTCACGCTGTCCTCCAACAAGCTGACACACATTCTTATTGGGTTGGCTGTCTCCTACCCTTGGTCTGCCAGTCCTCTTCCCCCACTCAGTGTGAGTGTGTGTGTATGTGTCTGTGAGTGAGTGAGAGAGAGAGACAGAGAGACAGAGAGACAGAGAGAGACAGAGAGAGCTGCTGCTTCCTGCTTCCCCCTGCTTCTTGCTGAGATGCAGCAAAGACAGGAACCCTGCCCAATAAGCTTGTCAGCTTGTCGGACGACAGTGTGAGGCCACTCTCTTTTTTACATACAAACACACAGAGAGAGAGAGAGAGAGAGAGAGAGAGAAGGAGAAGGCTCAAAGAGCCACATGTGGCTCCGGAGCCGTGGGTTGCCGACCTGTGGTCTAGGAAGAGGTTTCAGTGTTACCTGTAACCAGGTAAGCATTAGGATCCATGCAGTCTTTCTTAGGCAAAGTTTCTCCAAGAGGCTGAACTTCAAAGCAAAAGAGAGCAAAATCGTCATCCACTTTCCACTTCAGAGTAAAATTCCTTCCGGACAGACTGACGTTCAGAAAATTGGGACCTAGGACTGTAGAATCATAGTGTTAGAAATTAATATTAAGGCTATCTAGTGCTGGCTGGAGAATTCTGGGAATTGAAGTCTACACATTCTTAAAATTGTTAAAGTTAGGCAACATTACCCTAGTCAGTGAATGAGCCTTGTGTATGTAGCATCTCTGACAGATGTGTGCCCTACTTTTTCTGAAATCTCACAAAAGAAGGGCCATGGGGCAACAATCTTCCAATGAGGGGTGTCAAACTGCCAGCCCGCAGGCCAGACGCGTCATCCGGAAGCCACGCCCACCCCATTGCTGGCAATGCCAAAACTGTCCTGATACGTTGCACAATGTCACAGGACGTGGTGAGTTTGAGATCTCTGTTCTAATGCAATAAAAGATATTGGAGATATGTTTACAATATGCCACTGTTATTGCCATAGAATATGCTCAAACCTGAGCTTTTACCCATAATTCATTTTTATGTGTACCCAGATTCACTTTTTGTCTTCTGCCAATTTCATTCTAGGTCTCTCTCTTGATATTTCATTTCCTGAAGCTCCTCAATAAACCAGGATTAGTAAAACAGACAAAAGCCATTCAGAGCACATCTATTCAAGTTGCCATCACCCTTATGTTCCAACTGGTAAGCCTTGGTAGGAATAGTTCACCAGGATCTTGGGAATTTCTCTAAAAGCTCTCAGATATCAATTGGATGCATCAGATGTCTGGGACAGACTGTTTAAATATGTAGTTCCATCTTTCCTGTAAAGATTGGTGACACTGATCAGTTCAATGGCAATCAGAGAGTCACCTGACGGAGAGATGTTCCAGAGAAATTCTTCTAGGACGGACTATGTTGGTCAATTTATATTGCTTGAAATATAAAGGCGAGATTGATAGTGGAAGAGAATTCCCATACAAAATGAGATTACTAGAAGATGGTTGCTCTGATGGATTGGGTTTGCAAAGGGGAAAGTGGTGTGATGGATTATAGTGAAGCAGCAGTTTCCCAGAAAGGAGGGAGCACACTCCAGGGAAAAGAGACAAGAGACAATACAGCCTGAAAATGGATTAGAGAAAGAAGAAGATATTTAAGATAACTGCTCCGTAGAAACCCCCCCCCCCCCAGGATATATCTATTAGCATTATAGTACAGATAGTCCTTGATTTACAACAGTTCATTTAGTGACCATTTGAAGTTACAATGACACTGAAAAAGTACTACTACTACTACTACTACTACTACTACTACTACTACTAATAATAATAATAAAAAGTTGGAAGGGACCTTGGAGGTCATCTAGTCCAACCCCCTGCTCAGGCAGGAAACCCTATATCATTTCGGGCAAATGGCTGTCCAATCTCTTCTTAAAAACTTCCAGTGTTGGAGCATTCACCGCTTTTGGAGGCAGGTTGTTCCACTGGTTAATTGTTCCAACTGTCAGGAGGTTTCTCCTTAGTTCTAGGTTGCTTCTCTTCTTGATTAGTTTCCACTCGTTGCTTCTTGTCCTGCCTTTAGGTGTTCTGGAAAATAGCCTGACTCTCTCTTCTTTGTGGCAACCCCTGAATATCAGAGTGAGGTTTTTCACACTACCATTGCAGCATCCTCATGGCCATGTGATCAGAATTCAGACACTTGGCAACTGGCTCATATTTATGATGGTTGCAGTCGCCCAGGGTCACGTGATCACCTTTTGCAACCTCTGACAAGCAAAGTCAATGGGGAAGCCAGATTCACTTAACAACCGTGTTACTAACTGCCGTGATTCACTTAACTATGGCAAGAAAGGTTGTAAAATGGGGCAATACTCACTTAACTGTCTCACTTGATAACAGATATTTGGGGCTCGATGGTGATCATAAGTCAAGGACTCCCTGTAGTATACAGTAGGTTTAGTCTGGCAAGATTCTGTCTCTATTGTGTAAGCAAATAAAGAACTGAACTTTGGCTGAATTATTCTATGTTGCTCTTGGGCTGCGCCTGACCGTTGCTTTGTATACCAACCTGCATTTTGTTCTGGTGGTAGCTTAAAGGAATAAGCTGGAGAATGTCCCACTTTGTTAAATGCCACCAGCGAAATGTTATATTCAGCTGCAGAAAGAGCAGTGTAGCACCTAGTTGCACCACGTACGATAATGTTGTATTTTTCCAAGCCAAAAAGGCACTGCTTGCAGGCCAGCATCACAAAAGTGAGATTATAGCTCACTTCCCCTTGCTCCATAGGAGGTCTCTGCAAAAATACAAAAGAGAGCATAGAAAGCATTTCCCAAGCCACCAGCTTGTCTGGGGAAATACCTCTTGGGCATTCAGCTCTAAAAGATCTCCAGAGACCTTGACATCAGGCCTTATGACCCACTTACCCTCTTCTTTTTCGGATTCTTGAATTAAGGAAGGTTGTCACCTTGTAAAATAAAATGACAGACTCTGGCTTTATTTACAAGAACACTCTGGGCTCTACATTGGCCCTACGGACACCTTTAGCAGGTGAAAATAATGGGTGACTGAAATCCAGGAGTTTATTCACAAATGTGTATTTCTGCCCTCCAATCATCACCACCAGCTGAATGGTCAATCAGCCCCGAACATATAACTTTCATAACTAAAGAGCTTGAATGTTTGCATTGCATGTTCTTCTCGACTTCTGTCTGGTTAAGAAACAATGTTTTTAATGTTTTAAATGCAGGCAGTCCAAATGCAGGTTGGATTAGGAGTCTGAACCAAAGGATGTTTAAATGATCGATTCCAAGCAGATGCCCCAAAGGCTGAATGAAAGCATTCCTCTTACCCCCCACTGCAGAGTCACAGTCCTCAGGCCTTTCTTTCCTAGGGACCCCACAGTATAATTTACTGAGGGACTTCTGAGGATTTCTGGAAGAAACAAAATACATCTTTTAGACCAGTGGTTCTCAACCTGTGGGTCGGGACCCCATTTGGGGTCGAACGACCATTTCATGGAGGTCGCCAAACAACGCAGTCTGCCATTTTCCCCCCTTTTCCTTAGCTGTGCTACTCCCTTTTATTCTATTGGCTTTTGAAAGCCAATAGAATAGACTCTCTTGAATAGAGTCTAATTCTATTGGCTTTCAAAAGCCAATAGGAATTGTCCAGGCTGTCTCTGCCCTGCTGAGCCCGCCAAAAGTCCCATTCTGCAAACGGTGCTGCACCAGTTGAGTAGTCCTCGACTTACGACCGGTTGGGGGTCGCGGCATTAAAAAGGTTGAGAACCACTGTTTTAGACTCTGGAAACTTTGCTAATCGGTCCCCAACCCCCTTTATTTGAGTCTTGTCTTCTTCCTTCCACAGTCTTAGAAGAGGAAACAAATCAGTCAGGGACAAGTTACAAGATAACACACGCACCCATGCACACACACACACACACACACACACACACATCTCTCACCTGTGGGAATAAGGAAGATTTCGCTCCAGCTGCTCCAGTGACTGCTTGAGTGATCAGTTCGATACCGAACCTGCGCTTCATAAGGGATATTTTTTCCCAGATGACACGTGGCAACTAGACAAAGGCAAGGATATCTGGATCAGTTTTCGATTGTCTCCTGTTATGACCCAAGTGGTCAAGACAAGGCAGGCCTTTAGAGAGTCCTTTACTGCTCTCAATAAGTGCTAAACAAACAACCCTCCAATGACTGGTAAGGCTCCACCCCGCGCTACTGTGACAATAGCCCAAATATTACCAGGAAAATCCACAGTGCAAAGTCCAGGCATGAGACAAATGGCAGTCCTCAGGGCAAAGACAAGATACATGGCAAGGGCAGTTCTGAAGGTAAAGCAAAGCAAAGGGCAAAAGCAGTTCACAAGGCAAGGGCAAGACCAACGGCAGTCCCCAAAGCAAAAGGCGAAAAGCAGTCCTCAAAGCAAGGCAAAAGGCATGAGTCAAAGCCGGGGGAGTGTAATCCAAAACAAACAATTGTTCCTGGCAAAGACTAACTCCCGGGGCTTCTCCTTAAATCAGTCTACTCCAGGTGTTCCTTATGAGGAGGAGTGGGGTGACCTTCTCCCAAGTAGCCTTGCAGCCCTTCCCTGAGGTTGCCTATGCAATGCTCTCTGTGCCCTTGGATTGAGTGGTGGAGGCATCTATTCCTCATCAGAGGGGATCTGCTGCCTGTCAGTGCCACTGCCTTTCAGCAGCTGATCCTCCCCTGTGTCTGTGAAGGCAGGCAGCCCTTCATCTGGTTGACCATCTCCCCCAATGCCTGAGGGGTCTGGGACAGCATCAGCCTCAGCCCCTGACCTCTCCAAACATGCCAAGAGAGACGTGCCCTCTCTGTTGGATGGTCCTGGTTCCTCCTCCTCCTCCTCCAAACTGGGCTCTGAGGGGGCCATGACCTAGAGCAGGGCTTTTCAACCTTTTCATCCATTGTACCTTTTTTAGGATATGGCAACATCCGAGTACCACCAGTCGCTTAGCAAGGTGTCAAAAACTTGATGACCTCCCCCCCAAAAAAACCCAAAGAAAAGAAAAAAGTGATGAAGTACAGGTAGTCCTCGACTTACAACAGTTCGCTTAGTGATTGTTCGAAGTTACAATGGCACTGAAAAAAGTGCCCCCCAAGGCACAGCTGAGCAAGACACCTGCCTGCCCGCCCGGCGGCACTCTTCCTCCTGTCCGAGGTTTTCATTGTTGTGAGCATTTCTGTTGAGGATTGGCAGCGGGGGTGGGGTGGGGGTGGGTGTTTGGTTTTTATTCCCCCCCCCCCGTCTGCTGGGTGGTTGCAGCAGGTTCTGGTCACTTTACATGACCCTGGGACATTGTGACCATCATAAATATGAATCGGTTGCCAAGCATCTGAATGTAAATCATAAGACCCTGGAGATGCTGCAACATTCCAGCTGATCGATGCTTCTTCTGGGCTCAGCAGAAGCATCAGGATCAGCGCCAAACTCCAGCTGGAGCCTGGCACTGATCCTGGCACTTCCGCTGAGCCCTGACAGCCCTGCAGCTCCAGCCATCTCTCGCTCAGGCTTGTCCACTGCTGCCACCGGTTCAGCTCATTCTCCTCCCCGCTATTTTTCTAGGATGGTTGCGTACCACCTGCCAGGTGCCAATGTAACACAGGTGGTACCCATACCACTGGTTGAAAAGCCCTGACCTAGAGTGTAGTCTCTTACTAGCAGTTAAGGAAAGTTATCTGTAGAACTGCTTTCTTTTGTGTCCTGTCTCTTTCACTGTAAACTACCCAGAATTTAGCTATTCAAGCATGAAGGTGGCAGCGAACCCAATTTATCACATGGATTTCATTCAGAAATATCAATGGAACACTTGCTTCCCAGAGTCGGGGGTGTTCCATCACTACAGGTTTTCAATTAAAAAAATTGGACAAGCATTTGTCTGGGATGTTATGAGGGGATTAGATTTGAAGAGCTCCCTTCCAGCCCTATGATTCTATATCAGTTTAATGGCTTATAGCAGGGGTGGGGAACTATGGCCCTTTTATGATCTGTGGACCAACTCCCAGAATTCCTAAGCCAGCATGGCAGGCTCAGGAATTCTGGGAGTTGAAGTCCACAAGTTATAAAGGGGCCGTAGTTCCCCACCTCTGGCTTACATTATTGTATTCCATGATTCAAACACATTTTGGCAACATCTTCTTTCTCTGTGTTTCTACAATGTTCACTTCACTTCATCCCCAGCCCTTGGATGAGGCCAGTGTAAATCATCCTTACTAGTGTTAAAGGGAATATTTTCCTTTAAGCGATAGCATCCCACAGTGGCCTAAACTTGTAGAGGCTGTCACCTTGGAATGAGGTCAGATGACTGACAGTGAAGAAATGTAAGGGTGGAAGAAGAGAGACCAGCAATAGGTTCTGCACATTATGCCTCTGAACAAAGCAGCACTTCCATTGGAGGAGCAAATTTGTAACAATTGTACTAGCATGATTACAATTCAGTGTGTTGGTATTAACCTATAAAATCCCGTATGATTGGTGCAGAGGTTATTTCCAAGATTTAATTCTTCTTCATTCAATGAATTGAATTCTTTCAATCTACATGGCTGCCTAACTAACAAATTGTAATATGGCTAACTAATGTATAATTAAAAACCAATGCAATTCTAGCAAATAAATGAAAAGCATGATATAGTCAAGGACAGTCATTAAGTAACACCCATTACAGATAGGCTTATCTATCATCCTGATTCAATCCGGGGAGAAAAGTCAAGTCTTCAAGGACATATGCTGGTTCCGGGCTATCTGGGTTTTATGAGGTGGATTGAGTTGAGGGAACATGACTAGGTCAAGAAGGGCCAGAATTGATGCATCACCCCCATCCAGCCCCACCACAAGTGAAATGAATGCCATCTCAGTACTGACTCCTGGTCTGAAATCTAACTCAACAGAGTCTGGGTGATCCCTTTCTTCCAGGGTCCTCTTAAGCTGATCACCTTGTCAACCACCTTTCCTAAAAAGAGATAGAGATAGAACAAATGTTCTCTAACACCATCAGATGTAGCAATGACTTCCTGAGGAAGGGATCAACAACTGATTCATTAAGAGCCAGTAGAACTGCCCTCTCGTTCAAGGATGCATTCACCATCATCTAGATCAGGGGTTCTCAACCTTGGCAACTTTAAGACTTGTGGACTTCAACTCCCAGAATTCCTCAGCCAGCTTTGCTTGAAGTCCACAAGTCTTAAAGTTGCCAAGGTTGAGAACCCCTGATCTAGATTCAACCATGCGTTCCCTGCCTAGAGGCCTTAACCAGCCAGGAGGTACATAGATTTAATTCACAGGTGACCATACCAACAGCTTTAGGTACTCAATCCACTTCAACAGGACTAAAGGCTCACATTTGTCCCAGATAACAAGCAAGGCTGTGCCTCAAGCAACTCGAAAGGACCTGTGCAGTTAGAATCCAAATTAGGGTGGATCTGATTAATTTTATCTGGCAGATGCCTAGACAATTCTTCACAGCAGCTCTGCAAATGTTTCTCAGATTCCCTTCCTTCCCCAAAATTGGGTCATCCTGATCAGAGCTGGTGGCTAGCTACCTGCAGACATGTTAAGAGCAGAAAAATAGCTATGTTTTGTTAGTCTTATTGACACAAGGTAATCCTTAAGGTTACCCTTAATAAAGGATTTTGCTCATGTTTCATCACATTCAATGTTTGTTCCTTTCCATCAGTACTCTAAGTGTCTCTTTCTACTTCATCTCCCAGAGTTCCTTTGAAAACCAGGAGGATCTTCATGATCCATATATAGAAAGAGTGCACATAAGCATAATCCAGTTTAAGATCCCTTCATTCCATGCAGTGATTACAATAAGATCTCAGCTGAACTGTGCACTAGAACCCTAGGAATAATTATTCTTATGTAACAGTTGTAGACATTTGCCTAGATAGAGATCCTTCACTTATTTTTTAAATTTTTAATTATTATTTTATATTGGCGAAATAATAACTTTTATTTTTGGTGAAATCTGCAACCAAAATACAATAGGACATAACAACAACAACAACAACAATAATAATAATACAGTGATAATTCAGTCATAATAGAAATGAATATAAGGGAGTGATTAAAATGAAATTCCCCAAAATCTAAAAAAAGAAAATTTCATACTAATATGAATATTGAACTAGTTCCATTCTTTAACATGTTACTAAATCTAGACCTTATCAGTTGCTAGGTGTGGTGACATGTATAGGGTTTATTATTTTCTTGGTTATACTGCAAATTACCAGAAGACTTTTTGAGAATTCAGGGATATGTAAGTACAGTAAATAAATAGCTACATATTTTTTTAGCAATAGCACTTAGATTTACAGTATATATTGCTTCATAGTGCTTTACAGCCCTCTCTAAGCGGTTTACAGCATCATTATTGCTCCCAACAATCTGGGTCCTCATTTTATCAACCTTGGAAGGATGGAAAGCTGAGTCAACCTTGAGCCAGTCAGGACTGAACTCCTGGCAGTAAGCAGAGTCAGCCTGCAATACTGCATTTTAACTACTGTGCCACCACGGCTCTTTCCTAGTGGCTCAAGGTTGATTCAGAAGTGGGTTGACATATTGGCACAATTTATATCAAGCTGGGTCATGAACATTCGTGATTTATTGCATTTAGGTCCTATTAGTCTAACATCCTATCTGCCACAATGTCCTTCAAGAAAACTTCAAATATAGCAGGAGCTTAATTTTTGCAATAAGCCATGAGAAACCCATCATCATGTTCTTTGATGGCGAATGCCACTTATTTTAAAACAGTAAGAATTCAGAAACAATTGGTACATTTACTTATTTATTTATATTTCACATTTCTGAACTGGGTCCATCTCTCAAAGACGGATTCTGGGAGATGTACAATAAAACAGCAAAGATCAGAAGACAAAAGAGTATGCTCACCACCAAGAGTATGGTCACTCAAGATGTTGAGACTCTAGAAAGAGTACAGAGAAGAGCAACAAAGATGATTAGGGGACTGGAGGCTAAAACATATAAGGAACAGTTGCTGGAATTGGGTGTGTCTAGTTTAATGAAGAGAAGGACGAAGGGAGACATGATAGCAGTGTTCCAGTAAGAAACAAAGAAGAGGGAGTCAAGCTATTTTCCAAAGCACCTGAAGGCAGGACAAGAAGCAATGGGTGGAAACTAATCAAGGAGAGAAGCAACCTAGAACTAAGGAGAAACTTCCTGACAGTTGGAACAATTAATCAATGGAACAACCTGCCTCCAGAAGTGGTGAATGCTCCAACTCTGGAAGTTTTTAAGAACAGATTGGACAGCCATTTGTCTGAAATGGTATAGGTTTTCCTGCCTGAGCAGGGGGTTGGACTAGATGACCTCCAAGGTCCCTTCCAACATAATAATAATAATAATAATAATAATAATAATAAAAAATTAAAATGTTAAAAAATTCTAAAATTATAAAAAAAAATTAAGGAGACAAAAATAATTAAACCCAGTTAAAAATTAGCTGACCAAAGCAAAGGGAGACCTCTTATCGCACCAACCAGGTCCATATGTTTGGTAGTCAGCACTAACTATCAAAAGCACATGATTTTTAAAATTTAAAAGTCTGAATTAGAAATGGAATCAACCTACCTATTAATTCCTCCATGGTGTTATCATCCTTTTCGGAGCTACAATTTCCCTGAAAGCAACCCAGATAACATTCAAAATGAGGAAAAAGATGGTGATAAACCCTCTAAAGCAAAAAATACATCTTCTTCTCAGATACACAAAATGGAAAACCTAAATTGTTTTATGTGGTAAGACTAATAAATAGGTTATGGTGAATTTGTTTGTTTATACACATCATGTAACTTAAAACTGAGCAGGGTGAAAAATTGATTGATTGATTGATTGATATGCAAGAGCAATATAATGACTCTAGGTGGCTCCCAACAATTCATAGAAATGGTTAAAAACAAAAGTGCCTTTCCCCCACCTCCTTATGGGAGAAGTTGCAGCCTTAAACTTGACTGTTAGTTCAATGGAAGCCAAAGTGTTTTGCTTTTAAATGAGGGTATTTTTCTCCTTCTGAGGTCTGCATTCCCTCAATAATTTGTTAGGCATTGCACAGTGGGTGGGGCCAAAGCAAGGGGTGGGTGGGGCCAGAGCAGAAGTGGGTGGGGGCAATCCAAGGCTCACCTTAAATTATGGTTGAGCAGGCACTGGCCTAAGGACACAACCCTTTAGGGATGCCAAAACTGAAAGGATTTCCAAAAAGAACACAATTGAAAAAAAGCGATAAACAGTAACAATGCACTCTATCAGCCAGCGTGCCCACTCAAGGACTAAGCATAATTCTGCAGAATAGTTGCCATATGACCACAATAGGTACTGATGTAATTAAAGTGATGTAAATAGGGTGAAAATGTCTGACAAAAGAAAAAATATCCAGGGCTGAAATCTTAAGAATAAAAACAAAAAAGGAAAGGAAAGGAAAGGAAAGGAAAGGAAAGTGCCTTTTTGAGATGAGCCCGACCATAGGGGGCACCAATGTTTATTTATTTTTTAAATGTATTAATAAATGTATTATTAAATTTTAAAATTTATTGTTAAAATTATTACATTTATACACTGCACATCTCACTGTTGAAGAAACTCTAGGCAGGATAATAATAAGGTAACAAAATTAAGATCCATCTTTTTTGTTATCATATTGATGTATTCTTGTTGGGTTCTTTTTTATTGTTTATTTTATTGTTCTATTATTTTACTTCTGTTTACACTCTTTTCATTTCTTCCTTTTTAATTTCTTTGTACCCTGCCTTTATTATTTGTATAAATAACTGAAGGCAGCAAACATATTCAACAAGTTTACCTCTTCCCATTTTCCCCACAACAAAGTGACTGGCTCAAAGTTACTCAGTCACCTTTCATGCCTAAGGTGGAACTAGAACCCTTAGTCTCCTCTGATTGGGTCAGTCACCTAACTGGCTTTCATGGCTAAGGCAAGTTTAGAACAACAACAAAACAACAACAACAACAATAATAATAAAGTTGGAAGGGACATTGGAGGTCATCTAGTCCAACCCCCTGCTCAGGCAGGAAAACCTATACCATTTCAGACAAATGGCCATCCAGTCTCTTCTTAAAAACTTCCAGTGTTGAAGCATTCAGCGCTTCTGGAAGCAGGTTGTTCCACTGATTAATTGTTCTAACTGTCAGGAAGTTTCTCCTTAGTTCTAGGTTGCTTCTCTCCTTGATTAGTTTCCACCCATTGCTTCTTGTCCTGCCTTCAGGTGCTTTGGAAAATAGCTTGATTCCCTCTTTTTTATGGCAGCCCCTGAGATATTGGAATACTGCTATCATGTCCCCCCTTGTCCTTCTCTTCGTTAAACTAGACATACCCAATTCTAGCAACCGTTCCTTATATGTTTTAGCCTCCAGTCCCCTAATCATCTTTGTTGCTCTTCTCTGTATTCTTTCTAGAGTCTCCACATCTTTTTTACATTGTGGTGACCAAAACTGGATGCAGTATTCCATGTGTGGCCTTACCAAGGCATTGTAAAGTGGTATTAATACTTCACGTGATCTTGATTCTATCCCTCTGTTAATGCAACCTAGTACTGTGTTGTCTTTTTTGGCAGCTGCAACACACTGCAGCACAGAGGGGCTGCCACAAAGAAGAGAGAGTCAAGCTATTTTCCAAGGTGCCTGAAGGCAGGATAAGAAGCAACGGATGGAAACTAATCAAGGAGAGAAGCAACCTAGAACTAAGGAGAAACTTCCTGACAGTTAGAACAATTAACCAGTGGAACAACCTGCCTCCAGAAGCGGTGAATGCTCCAACACTGGAAGTTTTTAAGAAGATACTGGACAGACATTTGTCTGAAATGGTATACGGTTTCCTGCCTGAGCAGAGGGTTGGACTAGACGACCTCCAAGGTCCCTTCCAACTTTATTATTATTATTATTATTATTATTATTATTATTATTATTATTATTATTACTATTACTACTACTACTACTACTACTACTACTACTACTACTACTACTACTACTCATATTTAAGTGATTGTCCACTAGGCCTCCAAGATCCCTCTCACAGTTACTATTATTGAGCAAGGTACCTCCTATACTATACCTATATATTTAGTTTTTCTTGCGTAAATGTAGAACCTTACTTTTTTCACAACTGAATTTCATTTTGTTAGATAGCACCCAGTGTTCAAGTCTGTCCAGCTGTTTGAGAGTAGCAAGAAGAGGGTATATTCGAAAGGGTGGGGTTGTGGAAATACTGTGATCTTTAATGGGGAAAAACCCTTATGATCTGCACTGGGCCTGGAACAGAGCCCTGGGGCACCCCACTACATACTCCCGGTGTCCCGCTTTCTAGACTTAACCACTAGGCCATATGGGCTCTCTTTTTATTGTTGTAAGCCACCTAGAGTAGCCCCATGGCAAGATAGATGGTAAATAAATTTAACAAATAAATAACTAAATAAAATTAGGAAGATTAAATAAGAAAGTAAATATGACTTTGTCTAGGCTGGGCATCAAAAAGTCTAGAGTCAGCCCTGGGAGTATTGTCCGAAATGGTGTAGGATTTCCTGCCCGAGCAGGGGGTTGGACTAGATGACCTCCAAGGTCCCTTCCAACTTTACTATTATTATTATTATTATTATTATTATTATTATTATTATTATTATTACAAACTAAATAATGAAACAGGCATTGTAGCATCATGAAGCAAGCTCCGCCCATTTTAAAAAAATTGCTCACCTCCCAAAGCCACTTGGTAAGATGTAAAAAAAAAAAATTGATTAATTGAATGTATGTATGTATGTACCATATGTATGTACCGTATGTATGTATGTATGAATGAATGAATCAATGAATGAATGAATTGCATGCATACATATTGAGTGATAGTCACAATGTCTGTGGGCCCTGGGAAATGCTACATCTGTGACTGTGTTTGCATCAAGAAAGGCACTAAATGGAGCTTTATTACAAACTGCACTAAGATCATCATTCTTTAAACATTCTTGCCCTTATTCACCAAGCATTTTCCTCTCCATAATCTCTTGATGTCGTTATATTTGGAAGAATTATCTCATCTCAACGGAAGTGCCAGAGTGGGGTGAAAATGGAGGGATTTATTTTGCGACAGCTGGAGAGCAGCTGGCCCCGAGGCGAAGCCTCACCCAGGCACCTTCCTGCTCCTAAGTCTTTTCATAGGGCTAAGATTTCACACAGCTGTTTGAGAGTAGCAAGAAGAAGGTATATTCGAAAGGGTGGGGTTGTGGAAATGCTGTGATCTTTAATGGGGAAAAACCCCTATGATCTGCAGAATTTCATTGTCTGGCAATCTTCTATGTGGGAAGTTTCAAAGCATGTAGATAACAATCTCAACAGACATATACATAAGCTACCTATTTGCCTAAATGTAGAACCTTACTTTTTTCACCATTGAATTTCATTTTGTTAGATAGTGCCCAGTGTTCAAGTCTGTCAAGATCCTTCTGTATCTTAAGCCTGTCTTCTGGAGTGTTGGCTATTCCTGCCAGCTCGGTGTCATCTGCAAATTTGATGAGTTCCCATCTATCCCGTCATCCAATTCACTGATGAAGATGTTGAAGAGCACTGTGCCCAGAACAGAGCCCTAGGGCACTCCACTACACACTTCCCTCCATGTAGATGCGGTTCCATTGAGGACCACACACTGAGTATGGCCAGTCAGCCAGCTACGAATCCATCTGGTGGTGATGCTGTCTAACCCACATTTTTCTATCTTATCAAGTAGTAGGTTGTGAACTACTTTATCAAATGCCTTACTGAAGTCCAAGTAAATTATATCCACAGCATTCCTCTGATCCACTAATTTTGTCACTTGGTCAAAGAATGCAATAAGATTTGTCTGACATGATCTGTTTTTGACAAACCCATGTTGGCTTTTAGTAATAACTTTGTTTGTCTCTAGGTGTTCGCTGATTCGTTGTTTGATTATCTTTTCCAGAATCTTCCCAGGTATTGAGGTCAGGCTGATAGGTCTGTAATTTCCTAGATCCATTTTTTTTCCTTTTTTGAAGATGGGAACTCCATCAGTTCTTTTCCAGTCCTCTGGTAGTTCCCCAGTGCTCCAAGATCTTTGAAAAATATAGTTCAGTGGTTCTGCCAGTTCACATCTGCCAATTCCTTGAGAACCTTGGGGTGTAATCCATCTGGTCCTGGTGATTTGAACTCATCTAGGCTGGATAGGTGCTCACTTACCATTTTCTTGCCTATCTTGTGTTTCTAATCTAGTTTTTATGGTACTGTTTTTGATAGGTTGGACTGTTTTTTCCCTTTGTGTAAAGACAGATGCAAAAAATGAGTTAAATAGTTCTGCTTTCTCCCTGTTGCTTGTCATCTTCTTGCCACTTTCCGCCACTAATGGACCAATCATTTCTTTCACTTTTTTCTTGTTTTTTACATGTTGAAAGAAGCTATTTTTGTTATTTTTGACTTTGGTCACAAGCCTTAGTTCATTTTGAGCCTTAGCTTTCCTCACTTCATCTCTGCAGACTCGGACTATTTGCTGATATTCTGCTTTAGTTATGTGCCCTTCTTTCCACTTTTTATACTTGTCCTTTCAATTTATCAGAGAGTTCTTTATGCAGCCATGCTGGTTTCTTTTGAGAGCTGTTATTTTTCTTCTTC